CTCCCTTGGGTGGGCCCTGAAAAAGAAATTGGACCCAAAATAATTTTGGGCAAAAAAGGGCTTAAGGCTTAAAGCTTGAAATCCCCCCTCATTGTTAGTTTCCAGATCCGCCCTTTATTGGGAGGAGGCCTGGAGGCCCGCCCCCCCCCCTTGGAAGGGCCCTGAAAAAAATTGGGCCCAAAAAACAATTTTGGGCAAAAAAGGGCTTAAGGCCCCAAAAAGTGGGCCTTTTTGGTCATTACTGGGCCTTGTAAGGCCTTATTTTTTAATTTCAGGTCAAATGTAGAACTGAGAAAATGGGCCTCAAAATTTCAAAATTTGGGCCCACTTTTCGGTTTTAGGGGCCCAAAATTGTTTTCGCGCAAGCGCGGCAGTTTTTTTTCTCTCACCATATGCCTGAAATTTGGGTCCCCCTTGTTGGTTCCCAGATCCGCCCCTGAATTTAGCCTATACATTTTTCCTTGCAAAGTCACTATGTCAAATTGACATGTTGACAGGGCTGAGCTTTGTCTGTTGTCAAACGTGTTATCAAAATCAAGACCTGAATATATGATAAATATTTGATGTGGGTAGGCCTTCAACTGAGCCTACATCGGTTATATCATATTATGGATTGTGGAGATGTATCTATCATCATCGCACTGCGGATAGGACGCAGCCAATCATATCTCTAGTATTTACGCGCCAAATTTAGAAGATGATCACTAATTAGTAGTAATCCGTCAACTAGAGGAGATATAGTTCTAATTAATACTACAACTCATATTTCAGTTTAGGTTTGTTATACAGGAAATTTGAAACTTGGTTGATCCCGACTGAAATGTTCTATTGGTCTTAAATTATGAAAAGTGTTCACCAAAAGAGATACCGAAAGTGAGCAAATCTCTCTGCGGACTAATATATATAAGTAGTTCCCGGAAATAAACATTAGCAGAAGAAACGTCAAATCGTAAGGAAGAAGATATCAAAAATCGCAATGGTAAGTGTACATCTTATTGTATTGGAATTATTCTTCAATTCAAAATAGAAAATAAGCCTTTATTATATACATTTAGCTAGGTATTTATATGTTTGATCTTTAAAAATCATGATATTTTACGTGTTTTTCTCTGTGCCCAAACTGAATTTATTTCAGTTTCATTTCAACTGATTGTAAGTTGTAGACTCCGAAGACAAATGAACTCTCAACCTCAAAGACAGTCTTATGATGCCTTGTTCAAGATCCAAAAGTATTTTAAGTTCATTATTAAGAATCATTTCATTGATGATACCATAGCTGTCCCCTTTTTATGTACGTGAATTCATGAATTTGCCAATCGCAATCAGTGCCATTGGAATTTCCGGATTGTTACAAAGAGTGTTGGGCTGTCCCTGTGTTTTCTTGAAAGTAGAAGCAAAACGTTGTATTTACGGATCACTTTTTTCCCTTATGTGCTCCAGGGTTTTGTGTTCAAGCTCAGCGAACAAACCAGAGAATAGGAGGTCGATTTTGAAAATTGAACATCATTTGGTGCATTCTGACCAATTTCAGAGCTAAGGTTTCATCGCCTATTTAATTAAGCGTATGCAATGCTTTGATAATCCATAACTATCTATTTTGATATCCAGTTAAATTCTGACTTTTTAGGGGGTGGGGCGTCTCCCCCACCCTACTGTCTAGATCCGCTAGTGTAGACCAGGCAGATCTCCACAGGTTTTTTTCTCAAGTGGGTGCAAAATTCTCATTTTCACAATTCAGACCAAAATTGGTCAAAATATGCCGATTTTTCATGATTTTTCTCCAAGTGGGTGCAAATGGATTTTCAGGTGGGTGCAAGCCCACTGGCGGATCTTGGATCTTGAGGGGGAATGGTACAAACATGATCGTAGTAGTAGTAGCTCCATGGTGGAAAATTGAAATACCCCCATGACGAAGTAACCTCATACGTCGAAGTTCAACGCATTTCCCCTAAGCCCAATCAAAAATTAGCTTATGATGGCTGAATCAGGGCCGTCAGATGGGGGGGGGTGCGATGGGTGCGACCGCACCCCCCTTTGTCACCCCCCAAAATAAATGTGAAAAAAAAAATTTGAAAAAAACTTTTTTGAAAAATTTTTTTTTGAAAAATATTTTTTTTGTAATTTTTTTTTCATTGACTCATACACTTTGAAAGTACCCAGAAAGCACCAAATAGCATCTTAAAATTGTAAAATTTTCTAGGGGTATTGGCCACCCCTCACACCCCCCATAAAACAATGGAAAAGTTCTAAATTTATTTTAGAGTTTTGTCTCAGACACTTTTAAAGTGCCCAGATATCATCAAATAGCTCCTTGATATAGTTAGTGTTTCTGGGGGACTTACTCCCCCTCTTGCATCTTGCACTTGCATACCCCCCCCCCCCCCTCCCCTCTGGCACCCCCCCCCCCTTGATCCCCCTCCAAGAAAATTGTGATTTTCTCAAGTTCTTTAATTGACACATACACTTTGAAAGTGCCCAGAAAGCACCAAATAGCGTCGTAAAATTGTAAAATTTTCTAGGGGGAGTGGTTCACCCCTCACACCCCAAACAAAACAATGGAAAAGTTCTGAATTTGTTTTATGTATTGTCTCAGACACTTTTAAATTGCCCAGACATCTTCAAATAGCTCCTTGATAAAGTTAATGATTCTGGAAGACTAACACTTACTCGCCCTCTGGCATCCCCACTCCACCTCCCCCTCTGGCAGCCCCCCTCCCTTAACACCCCCCCCAAAAAAAATTGAGATTTTTCAAATTTTTTTATTGACTCATACCCTTTGAAAGTGCCCAAATAGCATCTTAAAATTGTAAAATTTTCTTGGGTAATAAGCACTTTAGGCACAGACACTTTTTAAGTGCCCAAACTTCATCGAATAGCACCTTGATATTGTAAATTTTGATATGGGGGACAAACACTTGCCCCCCCCCCCCCAGCCCCACCTCCCCCTCTGGCACCCCTCCCCCCTTTGACAACCCCCCAAATTTGAAAAAAATTGTGATTGTTTTTCAATGTTTTTATTGACTAATACACTTTAAAAGTGCCCAGAAGCACCAAATATTATCTTTAAATTGTAAAATTTTCTAGGAGAGTTAGCCACCCCTCACATCCCCCACAAAACAAAAGAAAATATTCTGAATTTCATGTATTGTCTCAGATATTCTTTAAGTGTACAGACATCAAATAGCACCTTGATATGGTCAATGTTTCCGGGGGACAACCCCTTGCTCCCCTACTGGCACCCCACCCCACTTCACCCTCTCATCCTTTTTGACACCCCCAAAAGAATTTGAAAAAAATTCACATTTTTCTTATTGACTCATAACGCACAGCAGGGGCGTAGCCAGCTTTCAGTCAGGGGGGGTGCGATCGCCGAAAAAATTTCAGTTTTCGGTCAGGGGGGTGCGATTTTGGCATAAGCAACACAAAAAATTAAGATTTCTTTTGAATTTTACAAAAATTGATGCAACTTCCTTCAAAATTGAGCTAGAAGCTTCAAATAAAAAGCATTTTAAAGCTCTGTTCTTCCTCTATCCAATGGTCATATTTTTAAAGGTTATGGGGGGGGTGCGATCGCACCCCCCTGGCTACGCCCATGCACAGGCATACCAGATGGTTGCAAATTCGCTCCAAATACAACCAAATTTCAAAATTTTCCTGGGGGAGAACCCCCGGACCCCCCTGAATGCTAAGTTTTTTATTCACTCAACTCTTATTCCTGTGGTGGTGGCGTTATCGCATCCTACGACCCCTTTAGACAATCTAAAGGGGTCGTAGGATGCGATAAGTGGTGGCGTACTACTTAGAAACTTTGAAAGTGCCCAGAAAGCACCAAATAGCATCTCAAAACTATAAAATTTTCTAGGGGGAGTGGACAACTCCTCACACCCCCACATAACAATTGGAACGTTTGGAAGTTGCATGCATTTGTTAATTCCAAACCAATACAGGGAGTAACTGACCCCCCCCCCCCCCCCTCTGTCTTACGCGATTTGATTTACGCGGCAAAAAATTTATATTCTCTTAAGCAAAAAACCGCACCCCCCTTGGAGAAAAGTGTCTTACGGGCCTGTGAATACAGATAAAAATAATTTATCTGAAATTTACAAAAGATATATACTGTTCAGTTGTATTGTGATCATTTGATTGTTTATTTTAAGGTTTGATTAAAGCACAATCAAATTGCCCCCCACTGTTGGCATTTAAAAATTAGCAATCAAGATTAAAAGAAATTGACCTATACATAAAAGATTTAAGATATTGCATAAATGTCACATTGTGGCTTGTATCAATGGTCTATGATCATTGACCCTTCATCTCAAACTTGAAATTAAATTGTGCTCATATGAAAATATTGATGAATGTGATTTTTTCTGAATGAATGAAATTAAATTCATATTTTTTGTTTTGTAATCTCATGTAACTACGCCTGATGTATCATATTTTTGCCAATCAGAACACATAAAATGTAATATGCATTCTATACAACAGATAATTTCTAGATTAAGTGAAATTGATTTCCCTCATCAATTGTATAATTTCAAGTTGACTGTTGAGTGAAAACTTTGAATATTATCAATCATAATGATAAGCTGATGCATGCTTGTGAAAATGTTGACATCACAAAATAGATTCTAGTCTTTCATGCCAACTTTGGATTTGAGCCCTTATAAAAAGGCTGTTGTCCTTAGAATTGTTCCCACTCTATAATTGTCTTAAATACCTATATATAAAATATGTACAATTTATTTCATATTTCAGGCTGATCAGCTCACAGAAGAACAAATTGCAGGTTGGTTTCTTTATTTTAATCTTTTAACATCGTGTGCTTCATTCGCAAGCATGTTATGTACTATTAAATATAAAAAACACTTAATTATTAACTTTATAAGAGCAATTTGGAAATCATTGTGATATACAAACATTAAAAATATGTTCAGTTTTGTGAGGTGTTTATTGACACATGTTAAACTGTATATCAAACTTTTAGATTTTGTTTTCAGAATTCAAGGAAGCATTTTCCCTGTTTGACAAGGATGGTGATGGCACAATCACAACCAAGGAGTTGGGAACTGTGATGAGATCACTGGGCCAGAATCCCACTGAGGCTGAGCTCCAGGACATGATCAACGAGGTTGATGCTGATGGTATGACATAATTAAGTTGATTGCCAATTAGATATGGGAGGAAATTACCTTCTCATAAAAAATATTCTGACCTAAACCCGCCTAGCCTACGACAATGTACAGTGACAAAATATATAGGTGTACACTTTAGCTGTATTGTTATGTTTGAAGCAAAAATTGTGATGTAGCTTTTAAAAGATTTATTTTATCTAAGGAATATGATGAAGTATTTCATATTTTTTCATGTGCATCCTCTTGGCAAGACTCTTAACTTTATACAGAGGTTTTACTGTAGTGTTCTTTTGATATATTCATAATTTAACGCATCCTGTTCAAATCAAATCAAAATTAATACACGCCTAATGTAATACGCCTTCCTTTCCAGGTAATGGTACTATAGACTTTCCAGAGTTTTTAACAATGATGGCTCGTAAAATGAAAGACACTGATAGTGAGGAAGAAATTCGTGAAGCATTCCGTGTGTTTGACAAAGACGGCAATGGCTTTATCAGTGCTGCTGAATTACGGCATGTAATGACAAATCTCGGTGAAAAACTTACAGATGAAGAAGTAGATGAGATGATCAGGGAGGCAGATATTGATGGAGATGGTCAAGTGAATTACGAAGGTAACAAGAGTTATTCATTCCTTATGCTTACGCTTGTAGCTGCTTCAGTTTTTGTTTGAATTACATCTAGAGTGGAGATCAGTCTTTTCGTTTCAGTTGATTTTTTATTTGTGCATAGCTTGCCAACATTTTGCATTCACAACTTGCGCATGTCTTAACCAATCTGTTCGTAGCATGTGTTTCATAATTCTTAGTTTTGTATGATTTGTACTAACCTTAGCTTATAAGTATTAGATTTTCTTTCTTTATAATTAGACTTCATTAGTTATTTGATTTTCATTGGTATTTCAGAATTTATTAAAATGATGATGTCTAAGTAATCCTCCCTTGCATGCCATGCTACCAGTTTACAAGTTGCAGTACTAAGTATCCTACGCATGTGAGCCTCAACTGAACTCGTCGACAAACATTTAACTACAACTATATGTTTATTCAATCATCTCACAGGACATCCATATATCTCAGTTCATTTAATGTACAATGTTTGTACAATTATGACCACTGAGCATGTATACGGTTTGGCGTGACTGAGTTTGATCTGAATATAAGAAGTTGTACATGACATTGCAATGCTGTATATAAGTACATATATTCCATTCATACACAAGATAAGACTAGGCAAGATTGTCTTGTTTCTGGTGGCCGGACTGGTGGTAGAAGGTTTAAGATAAAATATCGATCAATATTATTGGTGAGAAATTGCACAAATGAAACTTAAACCATGTCTTTAGCTGATGCATCAGTCTCTCAAACATCAAAACCTCTCACAATTTCTGTACACTTTCTTCCAATTAAGAAAGACAAAAATCATATTTTTAAAATTCAAAAGAGATCGTGCAGTCCAGCCTTCAATTTGAATGTTAGGTGACCAGAAACAAGATTTTTCCTAGATCATTTTTATATCAAATTCTCAAAGAATGCATTCTACTAGCATTTGACTAGGACTATCAAAATTGGACAAAAATGTCTCAAAACCAGCACATGTGAAATATTAAATATTTGTGTTCATTTTTTGTCTTATAGTTGTCTTGTAGTATTCTCTCCCAATACTCTCCATTTGAAATCTTTGACAAGCAGTGATTGACAGCTTATGGGCTGGAGTAATTGCTAGCATACTGCTTCTTAAATTCTCTTGCATTTTATGTCCATCTGTATAATTCTTATCATCTCTGATTTCAAGCTTTCTTTTGATTTTTGTTTCCATCTTTTCTATCTGTATTTAGATTTAACCTTTGTTAGTATATGTATAGTGCATGTGTACGTAGTTGTAAATATGAACTTTTTACAATTTTGTTACAACATTTCCTATTTGTGTTATACTTTAGTTCGTATTATGTCGAATTTTGTTGTGGGTTTTAGCTTACTTTTGAGCTGCCACTTCTTTTTGAACCTTGTATTTAGTGTATTTTAATTAATTTTGAATTAAGTTGTTCTTCCCCCTCCCTTGAATACCAACAGGTTCAGTTGAGAAATATGAAAAGTAGGGGGAGTGCAGAGATTTGACTCATTGTTACTCTACATAATTTGGCAAATTTGGCAAAAATTTAATTTGGCAAATTGGGCAAAGTTAATTACCTTTGAAATTGGCAGGTTTGAAATTGACAGGAGTGAGCATGTTGCCAAGACAATGTGAAATCAAGGATCAATGATCATATTTTGACATTGCCACAAATGAACATTCGTTAATTTTACTGTATCTCATATTAAACTCCTAGATACTGGGTGAAAATCCTTGCCGAGGATTTTTTCTGAAAAATTGGCGAAGACATGAATTGGTGAATTTTTGCAAATCGTCAAATTAAAACAGCCATCAAATTGAGTAGAGTAACATATTCCTGTTGACACTTTGTAAATGTTAATCTCTGAAGTACACCATGACTTAGTCATTTAGTATAATCAAGTGTAAAAGATAAAATGTGTATGCCTATAATATTTCAAACTATTGTAGCACAGTGACATTGACTCTTGTAATAATTAACTTTCATGATTTATGATAGGCCTATGCTAATCAACATATATATGATTACCGGTGCTTATATACTGTTTTGTAAAGGGGTTTCATTAAAAGTTCAGACAACTTGCATTATGAATAAAAACAACATGCGAAATTATTGAAATTTATGATATTACCATGGAAACAATGGCAAAAGTCCTATAAGAAGAATGTGAGGGAATTTTGGAGAAACAACTAGAGAAAATCACATGTTGCCTACTGCTAATGAAACCTCAGATGCGGTCTGGGACCCAAAATTATTGGTCCTGACTGGAAAAGTGGGTCCCAAAATATGGTGATTGTAAATGTGAGAAAGTCTCACTTAAAAAAATGTCACTTATTTATTGTATATGACACAACTAATGACTCAGAATTCAAATAAATGCAACAATGTCTGAATGACAATATTGGAACTTGAATCCATCTTTATTTGCAAGTGCATCATCCAAGTGTGAAAATGATTAGTTCACCTGCATGAAGGCATACTCAGCTTATACATGCTGTTTCCCAGTCTAACCACAGAAAGTTATCTCACAATCAGACCCATCTATCCTCAATATTATACTGGACTTAAGTCTGGTTATTTAGAGAGAAATTTTTTTCACAGTCACTTTCTGTAGCTTTGATCAGTGAAAATATGTTTTTTATTACTCTCCTATCTTTGTTACCTGTCATTTTATTTTAACATTTATTTGGCAATCTGTCTTGATATATCACACCATGGTGCAATACATCCGTTTGATAGTATGATAGTGGTACTCAATCAATTTATTATCCCATCGAACGAAGTTCGGAGGGATATAGGGAATGCCTCTGTTTGTCCGTCCGTCCGGGCAATAACTCAAATACCGTTGGGCCGATTTTGTTCATATTTTGTACACATATACCCTATGGGGCATTTTAAGCATCGGCATTTTAAAAAATGGCCACCATTTTAACCTATTTTACTAAAACTCGAAAAGTAGTGGAGCGATTTTGTTCATATTTGGTATGTGAATACTAAAAGCATGACACACTATCCTATGACACTTTTAGTAGAAGGTGGCCATTTTGAAAAATGGCCGCCATTTTAAGGTATTTTATAATAACTCGTATAAGTAGTGAAGCGATTTTGTTCATATTTGGTATGTGAATACTGTAAGCATGGCACACTGTCTAATGACACTTTTGGTTGAAGGCGGCCGTTTTGAAAAATGCCTGCCATTTTTGCTATATACTTTGTTTGTAAAAATGCCATCCGTGGCTGTTCGATGGGATTCGCTACGCTTTGGCGTTGCCGTTGTTCTGGTTTGACATTTTAACGTATTTTACTATAACTCGAAAAGTAGTGGAGCGATTTTGTTCATATTTGGTATGTGAATACTATAAGTATGGCAAATGGTCTAATGACACTTTTGGTAGAAGGCGGCCATTTTGAAAAATGCCTGCCATTTTTGCTATATACTTTGTTTGTAAAAATGCCATCCATGGCTGTTCGATGGGATTCGCTACGCTTTGGCGTTGCCGTTGTTCTGGTTTGACAACAAAGACTGCACAAATGGGCCATATCAAACGATAAAAGCTAAAAATGTATAATCAAAAATATTTTTGATCTGTCAAATTGTAGAAGATATATATATTACATTCTTTTTAGTCTGTGTCAACTGTATATGCCATCTATTAATCAAAAGGTAAATCAAAAATCACCTTTTCGTTATTAAGTTTTTTACAGGAATTTTTTTTTTCTTGCTTCAAAATTAACACAAAAGTAGCTTTGCACTGTAATTCATTGATTTTGTAACATTTTACTTTTTGTTCCCTTTTTTCTCCTTAAACATGGGCAGTGCCTCTATTTGAACATAAATTCTTGAATTTTTCTAGGATAGATGGTTTTAAAGTGTAAGTCAACATGAACTTTGGATCATGCTTATCGTTAGCGTACTTTACTTGACCTTATGTATGAGGAAATAATGAAGATATAAAGTTTTATGATGCATTTGTCAGGAGGCACTAGACTGATATCATGTATTTTATTTACCTTAAAGGCCCACTTTGCATATTTTCAACATTTTTTGGCAAAATAAAGAATAACATTTGAATTTCATATGTCCAATGTATTGATAAGAACCATATCTTTGATTTGACACCAACAACAGCTCAAACAGCCCACCTCAAAGCTTACAATAAATTATCAAAAAATATTTTCGATCTGTCAAGCTTATACAGTGCGTATAAAAAAAACGCAACAGATTGTTATCTTGGAAAAGCACAAAACCAGTGATAATAGCATTGATTTCATTCAATGCACCATAAAGCCATGTGTCTCCTCTTTACAATGATATATCATTCATTGATATTTGGTCATGGTTGGGTGAGTAATCATTCCATTTGCAAAGTAGGCCAAAATTAGCTTCGGGCCAAGTTATAAACATTGCAAAAGTCAGTGTACGGAGCCTGATGCAATATTGGACGAAATCATAAAACCAATGCAGACTGCATCCTTTTAATTCAATGTACCAAAAAGCCAAATTACTCCTCTTTGCAATGGAATATCATTCATTCACAGGGAGTCGTCTCTGGCCGAATAATCATTAATTTTGCAAAGTGGGGCAAAATTCAGCTCGGACCCAAGTTTAAGACATTGCAAAAGTCAGTACAAGGGGCATAGGGGCTATTGGAAGAAGGTGTGACAGGTATGACATAGACAATAAAGTGTTCATACTCATACTCTTGCAAGAACACATCCTACGATCGTATATCCCTCCAAATTGCCACCACTTCCTTGCACATAAAGATGCGCTCATCTGTCCACGTCATGCATGGTTCATCCCTGAATCATGTGTGGGTTAAAGCAAAGAAAAGCAGCCCATGGGCAAAGAAAAAGTCACAACAATTCAAGTCAGTGGAACTTCCATTGGCACTTAGCCCTTGCACTGATTTTTTCAATATCTAAAACTTGGCGCAGAGCTGATTTTGACCCACTGTGCAAATGGAAGGATTTCTCACCCAACCATTACCACATGTGAATGAATGACATATCATTGCAAAGAGGAGAGACATGGCTTTATAGTACATTAAACACGGTGTATAACCCAAACGGTCCTACATGCACGACGGAGCGTTACATTTACGCAGAAACGCTCCGGAGCGAAATAAAATGGCGGCTAATGAAGATTCTACTATGACCGTAAGTATTGTTTCTCTCGTTTCTCTTACATATCATATGTCATGGTGAAATATTATGTACCATTCGATGAACAATACCGTGAGCAAAGATCTTATTTATTCAACTTCTGGTGGTAAACTGTTATTTGCTTGATCAAAGCTCCGTAGTGTAGATCGAACGAATCTGAAGATGACGATTTGACCACAAATTACGAATTAAACTAGTATTTCTATGAAAACGTTAATCTTTCTGTTTAAGTAGTAGATCACAAACTCGTATATTCTCATTTCCTAAAATCCCAGTCCAAATACATTACTTGTTCTCCAGAAATCGCTTGTTTTCCTCGAAACGCTCCGTCGATTTAGACCACAATTTTAGAAACGCTCTTACCATTTTGTTTTGATATCATTTTCAGATTATTAGAGAAGAGTTCCGAATCGAATCTATCTCTCAAAAACGTGTTGTACTTGTTAGGCAAATTGAAACATCTGAACCGGGTGGTGCTAAACGTGCAACTAGTTGATTAAAGCCTATACATTAGATGATGTCATGCCTACATACAGTATGTGCTAAATCATAAAACTATAGAAAAAACGAAAAGTTATATGTGAATTAATCTTTCTTCTATTGATGCCAAGGGGTATAATAGATCTTTTCTTCCTCTTCCTGAAAAGGAAAGGCAAGCTATATATTTCCTTAACTGATCTAGACTACCGGAGCGTTTCCAATTCACTGTGTTAACCAGATCGGAGCGTTTCTTGAATATGAGAATGTCATCATTTTTAAGACTGGATTTTCGGTCATCAAATCACTATTACGATAATGTATGGTGCGTTGAAGCATTGGAATTTGACTAAAATATACGTTGGTGCTCTAATCTTGGCTCAACTAATCACATGTATCGACAAAAGGGGTTTTGACCGGTAGAATGACAAATACGTTTTTGAATTTTGATAACTATACTGCTTCGTACAGCTCTTCCTAATTGCTTCAAACGTCAACAGCCAGCCACGTACAACATGAATATCACACCCATCGAATGGTATACTCGAAATATGTAACTCATACCTCTTATTCCCATTATTGGGGAAATTGTCACAAGGCTCATCATTCCCGCCAGACAGTTTTCCTACTCCGGAGCGTTTCTTTGTTTAATTTCAGTAATGTAACGCTCCGTCGTGCATGTAGGAGCGTTTGGGTTATACACCGTGTTAAATGAAATTGATGTAGTCATCACTAGTTTTGTGATTTTACGAGATAACTACTTGTTGCGTTTTTTTATCGTACCTAACAAAAGGTACGATATTGTAGTCAGCTTGACGGGCGGGCGGCGTCTCACTTTTCAGCTTGTCTACAGGTTTCCAGCCAAATCATTTGAGGGATTCATCTGAAATTTTCAGGGATGTTTCTACATATCAACGTCAAGAACTGATTAGTTTTTGGGCATTCTGGGTAAATCTTAAGGTGGCCATTTTGGATTTTCCGTCCTAAAATCTTCACTTTCAAGACTTGTCTACAGGTTTCCAGCCAAACCATTTGAGGGATTCATCTGAAATTTTTTTTTATACACCCTGTATATCAAGTTTTTATCAATGTCATTGAAAGATGGCACAGTTATTTGTATTACATGATACATTCATTTTTTTCAAGTGTCGCCATCTTTTGATTCAAACAGTATAGTAATTATCCCATCGAACGAAGTTCGGAGGGATATAGGGAACGCCTCCGTCCGTCCGTCCGTACGTACGTCCGTCCGTCCGTACGTACGTCTGTCCGTCTGTCCGTCCGTACGTACGTCCGTCCGTCCGGGCAATAACTCAAATACCGTTGGCCCGATTTTATTCATATTTTGTATACATATACCCTATGGGGGTAGAAGTTCTGCTCGAAAGTCGATTTTCAAAATGGCCGCTCATTTAAAAATGGCGGCCATTTTAGTGCCGATTTTACAGTAATTTAGGTGCAATATGTAAAACTGTAATAGCAATATGTTTTAAATGTAAAAAAATTTATATAGGACATTAATAAAGCTAGAAATGTAGATATTATAAAAGCACATGGCAGCCATCTTGAAAAATGGCGCCCTTTTCTCGTTATTTTACGATTTTTGCTGTAACTCGAAAAGTAGTGGAGCGATTTTGTTCATATTTGGTATGTGAATACTATAAGCATGGCACACTGTCTAATGACACTTTTGGTAGAAGGTGGCCATTTTGAAAAATGGCGGACATTTTGAAAAATGGCCGCCATTTTAAGTTATTTTACTAAAACTCGAAAAGTAGTGGAGCGATTTTGTTCATATTTGGTATGTGAATACGTATAAGCATGGCACACTGTCTAATGACACTCTTGGTAGAGGGCGGTCATTTTTCAAAATGGCCGCCATTTTAACGTATTTTACTTTAACTCGAAAAGTAGTGGAACGATTTTGTTCATATTCTGTATGTGAATACTGTAAGCATGGCACACTGTCTAATGACACTTTTGGTAGAAGGTGGCCATTTTGAAAAATGGTGGACATTTTGAAAAATGGCTGCCATTTTAACTTATTTTACTATAACTCGAAAAGTAGTGGAGCGATTTTGTTCATATTTGGTACGTGAATACGTATAAGCATGGCACACTGTCTAATGACACTTTTGGTAAAAGGCGGCCATTTTTCAAAATGGCCACCATTTTAACGTATTTTACTATAACTCGAAAAGTAGCGGAGCGATTTTGTTTATATTTGGTATGTGAATACTATAAGCATGGCACACTGTCTAATGAGACTTTTAGTAGAAAGCGGCCATTTTTCAAAATGGCCACCATTTTAACGTATTTTACTATAACTCGAAAAGTAGCAGAGCGATTTTGTTCATATTTGGTATGTGAATATTATAACCATGGCACACTGTCTAATGACACTTTTGGTAGAAGGTGCCCCTTTTGAAAAATGTTCGATGGGATTCGCTACGCTTTGGCGTTGCCATTGTTCTGGTTTAAAACATGCACTTTGTTTATCATCTGCATGCATGTCTAATGATCTTCAAATACTTTCTTCTATGTGAGTTACTTTTTTCTTGATTCAATATTAAAGCAAATCAAACTTTGTGTCATATTTGAGCGAGTGTGTGAGTTACATGTTTCAATGATTTTTTTTTTTTCTTAAAGGCAGAATCTGATCTATAGGGGGTGACAAAATTACAAGCAACATGTATAATTGACCTACCAATCTATTCCTTACAATATCAATTACAATATCTCCCAAAAGATTCACAATATGTTATAAATTGGTGAAGTTATTAATGATTCAAAGTGCAAAAATGAATGAAGAATGTTTAAATTCTCCCAAATAATAAGAATGGTAACCATTCTTATAGAAAAAAATACATTATTGTAAAAATCGTTAGTTTTCCTGGAATAAAGTGTGCACCTTTGTGATTTTTAGAAAATAGACATGACATGGAATGACCTGAGACAAAAATATTCTAAAAATGAAACAATTTTTTGTTTAGCCTGCTCGCTATATCTGATTATCTCTTTAATTAAGTATAGTGGGCCTTTAAAGATACAAATGAACTTGTAAAGATCACTAATCCCAAATCTGTAAATACAAAATTGTGTGTCAATAGACTGTACTACTGTGTCTATAATGAGCAAATAATCTGTGATTAGGAATAAAATGTTTGTTTTTCCAAAACATAAACATTTTTTTAAATATACTGGTAATGTAGAAATGTGTTATTATAAAGTAGTATTGAAAGCAAACCATGATCCATTCATTTCCATTATCTTTACTTTCAGAATTTGTCACTATGATGACTTCGAAGTGATCTCCTGTATGTTCGCCATTTGTGTCGTAAATTGTATATATCTTGTACGTGCCACCAGATGTCTCTTCACTGTGGAGCCCAGGACGTCTGTGCGTATCATGTTGCCATATATGGACTCCTATCACTTAAATCATCGGGAACTATGAACATTCAAACAGCTCTGTTCCTTGCAGATACACAAACACACATACTTCAACCTCTCTTGTTTTTTCTCTGGGATATATTATTTGTAAATTTTTTTGTACTATATCTGTCAAGCCATTATGAAAATTAAACATAATTCTTTATAAAAAAAACTGGATTGTTTTATGTTACATATAATTGTATGAGACAGCACTGAAACCTCGGTGTTGATTTTAGCATAATCTCCGTAGCAATTTGTTTGCTGTATTCCTGCTAACATTTAAGCAGATTCTCAATTTATTAATTTCTTGGAATCCAACTCTTGCTGAGAAATAACTGATTCACTTCAAATGAAATTCAAATCAAATCTTTGTATTGTTTGCCTTTCTTAAAAATATATCTTCCAAAAGTATTTTACTTCACTACCTCTGACTACCTGGAAATTCAGCTTCTTGAAGAAAGTATGATTAGCACTGAACGAATTGCAAGGAGATTTTTAAAACATGTGGATCCATAGCCAGGCTTTTTATGTCGCCCACCAGAAGTGACATATTGTTATGTCTCCGACTATTTTGTTGTGAGTTTGGAGATCAGTGTCTGTAACAATTCTTAAAACTTCCAATAACTTAACAAGTACTGTTAGGACTGACTTCACCCAGGTATTTTTGTTTTTCAAACTTAGATAATCAACGCTTTCGAATAATATAAATGCTGTTTTAAATTGGTTTCATGTATGCCAATAATTTTTCAAATTGTCTAAACTGAACACTCTTTAATCTGTTAATCCCTAGAATATTCTCTTGGAGGAATTTCCCATAGAAATCGAATGGTATACAGTAGTTACAAGTAGATATTGAGAAGGAAAGTAAATCTTTAATACAGTACACACCTTATTGTAGCCTTGCCCAAGTCGGTATATTTCACTTATCAGATCCTGAATTATAATCTGAAATCAAGATAAGTAAAAGAGGCCGTCTTGGGCAAGGCTAACCTTATTGGGTTGTGATATAAACCAAAACATTATGATAAGCGAAATAGACATGAATGGATGCAATTATGTCACAAATAACCTAACTGTGAAACATGTAACTGTATCACGGTGTTATAGCATGACGGTTACGTCAAGGCGATTTGCAAAATTTTGGGGTAACATAACAAAAAATGGCGGATGGGAAAGGCAGCATGTCCTCTTTCTTGCCAGTAGGCAATATTCACAGATAATATTTCCTTTAATACAAGTTCCATTCGGTGACGTATATAATGATGATCATAAAGACTGTGTCAAATCTGCCAGGTGGTCTACAAGAAACAATATAAGCTGTAAACCTACTGACTGAGATATCCAAGTTCATTTGTGGTGTATATCGTAAATAATAAGGTTTCAAACGCAATGTCGTTAGACGACTACGTATATGACTTCTATCGAATTCTATGGACGGTAACGTATTGTATTAGTTGTACGTAAGATATTTAGCGGACGGTTACGTGCCTGTACATCTGTCAAGTCAAGGTTGCTAGATCTGATAGCCTCTTTCCATGTTATTGTTATAATGGGTAGCCTAAGAAATGGAATATTGAAATTCCTATATTTGTTTTCAGACCAACCTTAGATTGCTCTTCCATCGCGGCCATTTTATTGGATAAATCAGTGAACGTAGCCGTCTATCCTCGTTTTCAGAGGTGGCGTAACCGTCATGCTATAACACCGTGTGTATATAACATTAAAATACATCATAAGTAATGTTACAATGAAGACTGATTTTCTATCGGAGGAGGCATCTGGACTGAGCGATTTCGTGACATTGTCTAATCTGAACGACACCGTCCATCATATGCACACGACACTGAAGATATAACAAAGACATTGTTATTATTCCAAAGATGGTTATTGCGAATACCAGATAATATTGGGAATATAATTGTGAGGACAAACAAGTAATCTATTCTGATAATGTTTGCTACTGGTCGATGGATAGAATGTGATGATCGAGCAACCAGAAGAGTGTGTTATATCACCCTTTAATTAAATTAATAGCAACCCAAATAAATAAATACTAGTAATACATTTCTAAGCTTTGTTGTCATTTTAAACATCAAACATTCTTCTGGTATTTTTAGTAGGCTATCATTTAAATAAAACAACAGCATTGTAACTTGCCTGTGTTACAGCAGATATTGTCATCCACACAGTTTCCACCATTCACGCTGCAATGAGCAAATTACATAAAGGCAGTATATATAAACGCATGGACCTATATCTTGAGGTCCATGATAAACGTAACCAGTTTGACGAAAACATCCCCAACATCTCAAAATCATGATCTATTAGCCTACCCACAAAGAAATGATGTCTAGTACCTCCTCATCATCCAGGAACCATTATGACAAGAACATAAGACATATCGTTTCTACTGAAAGCCTTACAATATTGTAGATAATTTTTATAAAATACGTTGCATCATATGATCCATATGGTATACTTCTAATGGACTTCAACAGGCCTCCTAGACCTGTAGACTTCCACCAATGCGAACATCAGTTCTGACTACGTTCCTTGCACTCGAACTACGATTCTCACATTACGAACGTGAAATCTTTCCTGAACATATTTCTCCACTCGTGCACAGAGATCCGAGCTCGCAAACAATTTGTACACAGCGCATCTGATTTTTGGGATTTTTTGCGTACTGTACTCACTATACTCGTATGAGGCTCAACCAGACACCTTTTTGGAAGATTTGCCGCAAAAACTACTGTGTCATTTAAAATCTACTCCAAAAACTTGTTTATTTCAAAATCTAGCACAAAACTACCACTATTTTCAAAAAATTAATGAAAATAATAACCACGAATTAACCACGAATTAAAAAAATCTAGCGCAAAAACTACTGCATATTTCAGAAAATAATTTGCTCAATCTAATCTGCTTGTGAAAGGTAAGTAAAATGTAAAACCTCATTAATTTTATGTCTCTGATATAAAGAAATGAACTACTCATGCGACATCTATTAAACTGTAGCGAACACCTTGCTATTGTATTGGTCCCTTCTCATGATATTTTTTTATTTACAAAAATAGCAATGGAATTGTGGGCTATGAACAGACGAACAGAATATTATAATAAATCGTTTGTTCAATATTTATTATAGAAATATGCAGTAAAACCTGTATTTCTGGACACCTGTCTAACCTGAACATTTTTGGATGTGAAAGCTCTTTTGGTCCCAGTTTTTTTTCTACCATGAACTGTCACTTCCATGTTAAAAAACTTGAAATGCGAACAACTGTCAATATGTACACTTTTTGGCCGGTCCAGTAGTGTTTGGATCGGACAGGTTCTACTGTACTACATTTTCATCATGTCATGTTAACCAAGAATTCATTTTTAAAATTGCCTTTTTCTAGTTTATAACTAAGTCACCCTTAAGGAAATGAAGCGAGGAAATGTTATCTTTATTCCACTCAATAAATCTAATATAATACCTATAGGAAGCATAGATTTATTGTACAAACAAACCATTGTACGAACAGTGCTGGAAGCCAATACAAAAGGGCTAAATTGACATTGAATGGTCGGTTGCTAAGGACGCAAATGTACTTATCAACAACATGTGTAGAGCAAAGTCCCATGTTAACAGATTGACAATATGGTGCAATGTTTAAGCAAGTAAACAGTAGCGATTGAGTACAATAACTTGGATAGAAACCTACTAATATGACTAAACTACTGAAATAAAAACGTAAGAAAAAATCACCATTATGAATAATAACTAAGTGCATTTAGGATTTTAGTTGAACGCAGCAGGCTAATAACAATTTAATTTTATAAAAAACAACAGGAAAATAAGAATAAATCAGGAGTAGCGGATATTAAGTTAACCATGGGCCCAACAACAACCAGCCCAGTAATGAGGGCCACCCCTGCCCCAAGGGCACTGACAGCAACTACAGCCTCTACAGCTTCGGGGAAGCCGAAAGCACAAAGCGCCAAGAAAATAGAAAATGCTGAAACTAAGAAAGCCAGAAAAAGAAAGATGTTAAAAAGTCAAACTTTTCTTAAATTAGGCACTAGGAGTAGATCACCAGAGAAGGTAAGAAAAAGGGGATGAACAACTTATTTTCTTTAAAACATAGTTTAAACAGATTCACGGGGTACCATCGAATAATTTTGGCAACGTACCGGAGAACGACATTTTACTAAGAAATGGCAATGATTTAGCACAATATATTTTTTAACTAGACTTCTATTTTGATTTTGACAAAAGTAAGTATTCCATGCAATAACTATTTCATTCATGAGTTTGTAGGAATTCTGTTGGAACCCAGTTCTGATCAAGTACGAAGTTATTGAAATCGGCGCAGACGGACTTTACTCCGAAAGATGGTTTTTCTATTATAACTTTTCACAACATTTAAGTATAGACTTTTGAAAAAAGTACAGAATAGTCCTTATACTTTTGAATAATTCTGTTATTTCTGATTCACACGACTCTGATTTGTTTAATTCAAAAAAAAGTTTTAAAAATATTACTTAGGAACGTAACCGGAGCTGGGAACGTAACCGGAGCAGATCAGTTGAATTATTTAATCAAAAAAATTAAAATATATGATTTAAAGCACATATACTAATTTAAAAACATACGGGATTTTTCGAATGCGTATTTATTAATATATATGCTTTAAATCATATATTTTATTTTTTTAAATTATATAATTCAACTGATCTGCTCCGGTTACGTTCCCAGCTCCGGTTACGTTCCTAAGTAATATTTTTAAAACTTTTTTTTAAATTAAACAAATCAGAGTCGTGTGAATCAGAAATAACAGAATTATTCAATAGTATAAGGACTATTCTATACTTTTTTCAAAAGTCTATACATAAATGTTGTAAAAAGTTATAATCGAAAAACCATCTTTCGGAGTAAAGTCCGACTGCGCCGATTTCAATAACTTCGTACTTGATCAGAACTGGGTTCCAACAGAATTCCTACAAACTCATGAATGAAATAGCCATTGCATGGAATACTTACTTTTGTCAAAATCAAAGTAGAACTCTAGTTAAAAAATATATTGTGCTAAATCATTGCCATTTCTTAGTAAAATGTCGTTCTCCGGTACGTTGCCAAAATTATTCGATGGTACCCCGTGAGATTGTTAAACTAACAATAGGGACAATTTAAGTGCTTTTCACCTGGAAAAAAGCAAGGTTCCAATCCAACCCCAAATATTCAAAACTAAAAGGTACTGTCTGACTGTCTTATGGAAATAAATTTGCTGATAATAGTATTATTTTTGGTTTAAAATGCCAATGGGCAGTGAAAGGTGTGAAAGTTTTTTTTACCAAATGTTGCTAGGAGCAAAATAATCTGACATTTGAAATAAGATTGCACTTGATTTTACTTGACCGTGCAGTGCGTTGATTTGACATGTTACTCAGCACTTAAGATTATGCCTTATTCTGATTTAATATAAATCATATTATTGATAATTCACTCATTATTGATTAGGGAATTATCAAAAAAAAATGTTCTTATTTTGAATTCGAAAAAAATCTATATAATCTAAAATATTAGTTCACAACTGCTATCTATTATTAGGATGAATGGCCAAGAAAGTCAGAAGATTATGAAAAGACAAAATCCGGACGAGAATCCTGGTGGAGAAAAGATATTAGGGTAAGTTGGGCTTTTTTGGTTTTGTATTTGTAATTCAGCAATTTTAGGAAAATGTGATGATTGACAATAGATTGCTAACATGGCGATTTTGATTTCATTTTAATTTTATATCTAAATTGTGAATAACCATCGAAAATAGGTTTGATTAATTGACAGTTTTGTGGTACTATATATATCTAGTATTTATCGTTAATAGATATTTAGGTTTTTATTATAATTTGTCATCACCAGAAGTGTTGAAATATTGTTATAGCCTCCAATATTTTTGTGGGTGGTCTTCGGCGGTTGGTGTTCGACATCTTTAACAAATGGCAGGTGGTGACATTTTGCATGTAAATTTCTAATCTTACATTGCCATAATTCAGCATTCCCAAATTTCAACAGTCTACCCACTAGATCGTAGAATATTGTTCATTTCAACTAATAATCAACACGTGTATACTTTAATGCATTTTCAGGAGACACCCCTCCCAGGTACTTACGACCATTATGATTTCATAGATGAGGTAGACAAGAAACAAAATACTTATAGATTTAAAAGTGATGGGAGAAAACGTGATGCACATCCGTGGCATAAAGGAGCTGCACTTATGCCTGGTGCTTATGAACATAAAGACTTTCTTTCAAAGTAAGTAGACCAATATGTTTGACTATACCTAAATCCATGGTGAATTTAAGATTTCAAGCAAAAACTGAATAACACGTTTACATACAGCCCAGTTGCCACATTATTTTCCTATACATAATTAATCATAACTGGATAATGTCTTATGCTTCTACCGCATTCATGTTTTAAGTACATGTAGAAACTTTCTACTTCTTTTGATATAACTAGTAAATCATATTTAAACACTTATGTCATGTACCATAGAAGATATTGGCCACTGCTTTAATTTGGTATACAACTTTAATATGGTACACATTTTGCCACAAGAAATATTTAATAAATGGCTCAGTAGGAAAGTCATGTAATGGGGTAACTGTAATGGGGATATGTTAATGATAGAAAAAGACAATTTGTTGAAAGTATTACCCTGGTTTTATTATAAAGATAGTCAAGATCAAGCCTCCGACTATAAACATACTAATGCTCTTGTGAGTCAAATTCAGTTGTCCATCTGTACTCCAAAGAAACCTAGAATATTAGATTAAATAGGCATATGCATTTGTTTATTCTTGTTTTTCTAACTTTCAGTTTTGACAAGTTCAACACTACATATGGTTTTAAAAGTACTAAGAGAGATGCAAGAGATTTTCTTAACTTTGGTAAAAAAGACAAGGTGGGTCTCTTTACTGTTTTAAATGGTTAATGATTTAATGTGGTTTATATGAAGTAATATGTTCATATATGTAATAATGTTCATGTTTATGCAAGAAAAGTCTTACTATTAGTGTCATATATCATTTGAAAGCTCATTTATTTTTTACTTGTATGATATCTGATCAAAAATCAGTACCTATGCTTAACCTACCTGTGCTCCTAGTCATTTTTAAATTAAATTTTCTTTTTGTATTTCTTTTCATCAAGGCTGGAAACCTTTTAGTACACAGGCTAACGGTTACATTTTATTGACCCTTCTTTGACTTATTTAATTTTAATTTTACAGGACATCAATGTTGCTCCTAACCAATACACTGCTGAGAAGTACCTAACCTGTTCCGTGGAAAAACAACCATCAAAACATTTCATGTTCAAATCACAATCTCAACGATTCCCTACAAAATATTTTAGACCAGTAAGTATATGAGATGCACTTTTACAAGCACTGGTGTAATAGGGGGGGGGGGGGGGGGTCTGTAGGGGATTTCATTGGTCTTGTATGCCATGCACATGTATCTTTGCAGACCCACAAAAACCTTATCTATATAACATTTCTTAATGAACCTCTTTTACAACCATTTTCATCTAAGTTTCTAATTCTTTATTGGATGTGATAATATTGCACATATGCACTATTTATTTTCTATTCTATTTCATGGATAATGAATGATATCTCTATCTTAAACACTTCTCGTTCACCTAGTATATAAATAACTCCCACCCTTTTGTTTTTATTGTGTTTAATCATGATTGCATAATTTGAAGGGTTCATCAAATTCACAAAAATCCAACGATAGTGACGAAACAGTAAGTTATAATGTTAACAGTGGTGTAGGAAACCTCAATTTGAACACAGACTGACATGAAACACTACACGTTTTTCCAGGAAAATTGCTGATTGTTACCATTGCAAATTTTGCAATTTTGCCATTCCATTTCTCAGTTACTTGAGTATCGATGAATTCTAGCATTTTAGAACAAGTACTAAATATAAAAGTTTTATCCAAAATGGAAGCATATATTTTTATTTCATTTTTGCCTACCAAATGTGAATCTTTAGATTAACAGTTTTCTTTATAGGGATTAGCCTTCATAGGACAAAAATGAAATGAAATATTTCCATCATGAGCATGCTTTTTTCCAAGTACAGTTAAACCTGTAAAGTGGAACGCCTCTAGAAGTGGAACACCTCTGTTACTGATACACTTTTCAATGTCGCAAGACCAACTGATTAATGTTAAATGAACCTCTATAGGTGGGACACCTCCCAAGTGGAACACTTTTAGAGGTACCAAAGAAGTCCCACTTAGACAGGTTTTACTGTATATTCCTACACCACTGAAATAGTCATATGGGGTAAAAATTAAAATACAGTAGCCTACTAGATGAGCTTTTTAATAGAATTGATTCAGATATGTCTAGACAATGTTCCCTTGCATCATAATTCTGTTAATGATACAGGTTTTCCTCGAGTTCCGCAACACTTTATCACAGACAGGATAAAGGAAGTAGCTGCAATTTTAAGAAATCTATAAATTGTAACCATCGTTAGTTTGGCCTCTGTGGCAGTACAAAGGTGAACAAAGTTACAACACAAATTGTAGACATTACAAAATTGGCAAAATTCAGGCTATAAATCTTCATAAATTAGATATTTGAAGATGATTTTTACATTAAGATGACAAATTCACATTGGTTTACTTACAGTATATCAATATATAGCAGTGATTTTGAAGTGATCTCTAATTTGTAAGGAACTTTATGATTCAGTCGGTCATTTCATTAAAAGTGGATATTTATGACCCTTGTCGTTTATGTTTCTTGACAAAGTTAATATTAGACCTTTGAACGATGTTATACTTATAGCAGAATCAGGCTTTATCATAATATAGACATATCAATGAAATAGTGTAGAACTATATAGTTGCTTAGTATTTGCTTATTTTGCAACATATACTAGATTTAATCAAACTATAGACAGACTGTAACCAAATGTTGACTAATCCATTGTACAATATGTTGGACAGGTAGCTATTGTAGACTCTTGAATAGAGCATCAATAATGCCTGCAACAAACGGAAGTCTTTTATTGATTTTTTTTTGCTTTGCAGGTTTTTATACCATTTTATACATAATAGAATTGTTATAACAATCGAAAGTAGACTTTTGTTGCTCATAGAAACTTTTATAGATCTAGAAATGTATATGACGATAATTTAATTAAGCTATCATAAAATTGTTATTGCTTCTCATTAATGATGAATGAAATGATCAATACTTAATGCATAAATCATTGCCACAGACATTTTTATTACATAATCATAGCTCACACTATTGCATATCATGGTTTAATCAACTTTCTGGCTTCAATACCTTTTATTATTTATTCATGAGCAATTGATTCCATCTGAAAAACCAATTACATTGTGACATCAATAAAATCTTTCATCATGAAAATCTTTATCGCATGCCACGATCACTTTCTTAGTAAAATGTTACTTCCTTTTTCTCAATCTTTGGGTTATCATTGCAATTTTTCTGATATAAGAAAGAAGATAACATGGTGACATGGTTAATCATACAGAACAGAGTTTGTCAAGATGACATAATTGATCATAGTGGCATGTTAATAACAATTATAGGGGTAGCATAATATTTTAATTTAACTTTGTTTTCAGAAAATTGGTCCTGCACCTGGCAACTATGAACATACTCCACCAGATGCGCTTCACCCAATATCCTCTAGCTTCAAATCACGTACTCCACGATTCTCAACATCACATACGCGGGTACCTGGGCCTGGGTCATATGAAAAGACATTCCAATCCCCAATGCCTGCAACTATAGCCAGAATGGGAAAACAACATGGACTTTTCTTTTCAAGTGCATTTCAAGTTTGAAAGTTGACATTTAATTATGGTAGGATTTAAGGGAAACTGATAGGACGAGGCCTTAGGCAGAGAAAAAGCAGTTTGGATCATAATGAAATGGAATAGGATGTCATTTTTTGAGGTCAAATGAAAAATTCCTCAAAATTATATCCTGCAGTATTACTTTTACATGACAAGAAAATAAAGGCTCAAAACATTATGAAGATTGTAGTATTATTCAAATTGCTCAACTAGGCATTAGCTTCAATATGCTTTTGATATTACTGTCATTGAATATTTTGTCATTAATAATTCCATTTGTGCAGTATGTACATAGATTTCTTTTAAAACACAGACAGAATATAGTTGATATGAATAATGTAACAACGGGGTACAATGTTTAACATTGATATAATATGACGATTTACATCCAGAAAAAAAAATAATCTGGAAAGTTTCTATTCTGTATTGGGAATTAGAATCCAAAAGTCCAAAGTTGAACATGCCTCCCCTTTTGACAAGAACAGCGTTCACATGAATATACATTATACACCCCCTACATAAGTTTGGCAACTTAAGTTCCCTTCTGTATCATGTATTTTAAGCATTAAAACACATAAACAGGCTTAAATATGCTATCAAATGGAGTCTTTCAGTTGCCAAACTTATGGAGTGGCGTGTATCCTGCATGGTAAAATGCTAAGTTTGGGTGCCCTTTGCCAAATTGTCAAGGTGGGTAATGACTAGAGAGTGAAATCTTTTGATACTTGTATATGAAGTTAATTTGTCAATTAACTCATTGTACATAGCCCATCTAAAGTGGTCAGAAATACAATGAATAAGTTCCAAATCTGTGTTAAATTATCAACAAAAATGAAAACAAAGTTATGTTTTAATATGTTACATATATTTTGTACATTTTGTAAATTGTAAAACATCCAAGATGTACAACTATGTATGCATTATTATAATTTATAATGATGACTGCAGTCAGTATTAATAATAAAAGTATTTACAATTCTATAATAAATAGACTTCACTCTACATTTATATACAAAGCTCAGTAATTTATTTACAAAGCTCAGTAATTTATATACAAAGCTCAGTAATAATCTCAAGTATCAACCACAGCCATATTTGAGTGACCTATATTTTTTTGAAAATTTTGTATCTTGAGCTCAGTAAGTTAAAACTGCCATAAGGTTAAATTGAAATGCCCTAATTTTAACAAAACTTGGAAACTGCCCTAATTTTAACGTAAAAATGTCCTAATGTTCACAAGAAACTACCCTAATATTAATATACAAGGCATTAACATGCAGAATGTCACCACCTGTCAGATGCTGACTGCCAAACACTGTTCACAAAAAAGTTGGAGACTATAACAATACATTCCCCATTCTGGTGGTGACATTAAAACTGCCCTACTGGGGAATGCCCTATGACTTTTCTTAAGCTATAATGTTCCAGTGTTCCCCTTATACACACAATATTAAATACAATATATAGAGCACCAATATGGAGGTATTCTCTTTCTACAGAACCAGCAATTCTCGGAACATACAGGTTCATATCTTAGTATTATATTGCACATCTCTCATTCTACTTACAAACATGGCAACTATGATTGCCCTTTTATGATCTTAAGTAAAAATGTGATGTTGAATGATTGAGAAAATGGCAACAAGCTTTAACAGCCAGCCAAGCATGTGGAAACCTGATCAAAATAAGCACACATAAATGAATGGACCCTCAATTTGGGTGATCTTAGGGAATTAGATTTTTACTAGTCTTTCTTCAAGCCCTTGTGCTCCTCTAAATTCCTCCCCTCCATATGTAGGTAAAGTAGAGGTGAATGTAAGTAGCCTAGGGGAGGGGGGGGGGGGGGTCCAGAGACGTTATGCAAGACAAGAGTGTCACATTTTCTCAAGCATTCAACAGTAAATGAATTTTGTAACACACATCTATGCATATGACTTAACTATGAAACACTTTAATATTTGTGCACATGAATTAACATTGAATATTCATGAATTCAGGGACACGAAACATTGATTATGTGTGCAAAATTGATATCACATTTCTATAGTACATTTAACTTTCATATCAGTTCTTGGCAGTGGATATGATTTGGAATGAGGTATCTTAAATACATGTCAACTTTCTCAATAAATGAAATGAATTTCATTTAACCCTAAAAAGATTAATCCACCCAAATCCTTTTGGCACAAATCCATTATTCTGTATAAATATATATAAAATGAAAGAAAATTCTGAAACAAAATGATTTGCAAAACCGTTTCATAATCATCATATTAGGTCTTTTTGTAAACAAACCAAAAATTTGCTGCACATAAGGAGCCAGTTTCTCTTGGAGCCAGTAAGTTTTGATCTAGAACAGTTAATTTTTCCAGTATGATACACAAGAGACCCATAATTCAACATCAACCACTGTCAAAGGCCTTCCTGATGCACCAGCGTCAGATGTTCTCCTGCTAGTGTATATGGTCCTCCTGTTAAGCTTCTGCTACAGAAGCTTTGGTAGAACATGGAATGGTATAACTGGACTGGTCAAATCTAGCTCAACTGCTGCAGCAAGGCATTCTGATGACTTATCATACTCCCCAAGTGATTGCAATACAATTCCTAAATTGTTCCTGGAAATTATTGTAAACAGTTCAGAATTAGAAGGCAAGATTTAAAGCGTTGTTGTCTTATTGAGCTAAAATATTACTTGGACAAAGACGACAACATGATTTCAAAATCAAAGAAGACTGTCATTTGTAGATAATTTTGTAAAGTAAAATAAAGAAACCATAAAAACTAGAAGACTGGTACTCAATCAACACACCCAATTAATTAAGTAACTGACACCATAACTCAGTAAGTAGAACATAGTGCAAGTGAAACATTCTTAAGAACCAAGGATGTTCCACTTACTGTATTAACCAATATATTTGAATTTGATAATGAACTTACCAGGACTGGCTTGCTGTGAGGTCAAGCTAACCAATATTTTCGAATTTGAAAATGAACTTAACCAGGACTGGCTTGTTGTAGTGTCAAGATAACCAATATTTTGGAATTTGAAAATGAACTTACCAGGACTGGCTTGCTGTGGGGTCAAGATAACCAATATTTTTGAATTTGAAAATGAACTTACCAGGACTGGCTTGCTGTGGGGTCAACATAACCAATATTTTTGAATTTGAAAATGAACTTACCAGGACTGGCTTGCTGTGGGGTCAAGATAACCAATATTTTTGAATTTGAAAATGAACTTACCAGGACTGGCTTGCTGTGGGGTCAACATTACCAATATTTTTGAATTTGAAAATGAACTTACCAGGACTGGCTTGCTGTGGGGTCAACATAACCAATATTTTTGAATTTGAAAATGAACTTACCAGGACTGGCTTGCTGTGGGGTCAACATAACCAATATTTTTGAATTTGAAAATGAACTTACCAGGACTGGCTTGCTGTCGGGTCAAGATAACCAATATTTTTGAATTTGAAAATGAACTTACCAGGACTGGCTTGCTGTGGGGTCAACATAACCAATATTTTTGAATTTGAAAATGAACTTACCAGGACTGGCATGCTGTGGGGTCAAGATAACCAATATTTTTTGAAAATGAACTTACCAGGACTGGCTTGCTGTTGGGTCAAGATAACCAATATTTTTGAATTTGAAAATGAACTTACCAGGACTGGCTTGCTGTGGGGTCAACATAACCAATATTTTTTGAAAATGAACTTACCAGGACTGGCTTGCTGTGGGATCAAGATAACCACTATTTTTTGAAAATGAACTTACCAGGACTGGCATGCTGTGGGGTCAAGATAACCAATATTTTTTGAAAATGAACTTACCAGGACTGGCTTGCTGTGGGGTCAAGATAACCAATATTTTTTGAAAATGAACTTACCAGGACTGGCTTGCTGTTGGGTCAAGATAACCAATATTTTTGAATTTGAAAATGAACTTACCAGGACTGGCTTGCTGTGGGGTCAAGATAACCAATATTTTTGAATTTGAAAATGAACTTAACCAGGACTGGCTTGCTGTGGGGTCAACATAACCAATATTTTTGAATTTGAAAATGAACTTACCAGGACTGGCTTGCTGTGGGGTCAAGAAAACCAAAATTTTGAATTTGAAAATGAACATGACCAGGACTGGCTTGCTTTGGGGTCAAGAAAACAAATATTTTTGAATTTAAAAATGAGCATAACTAGGATTGGCTTGCTGTGGGGTCAACATAACCAATATTTTTGAATTTGAAAATGAACTTGACCAGGACTGGCTTGCTATGGGGTCAAGATAATCAATATTTTTGAATTTGAAAATGAACTTACCAGGACTGGCTTGCTGTGGGGTCAACATAACCTATATTTTTGAATTTGAAAATGAACTTACCAGGACTGGCTTGCTGTGGGGTCAAGATAACCAATATTTTTGAATTTGAAAATGAACTTAACCAGGACTGGCTTGCTGTGGGGTCAACATAACCAATATTTTTGAATTTGAAAATGAACTTAACCAGGACTGGCTTGCTGTGGGGTCAAGATAACCAATATTTTTGAATTTGAAAATGAACTTACCAGGACTGGCTTGCTGTGGGGTCAAGATAACCAATATTTTTGAATTTGAAAATGAACTCAACCAGAACTGGCTTGCTGTGGGGTCAAGAAAACCAATATTTTTGAATTTGAAAATGAACTTAACCAGGACTGGCTTGCTGTGGGGTCAAGATAACCAATATTTTTGAATTTGAAAATGAACTTACCAGAACTGGCTTGCTGTGGGATCAAGATAACCAATAATTTGAATTTGAAAATGAACTTACCAGGACTGGCTTGCTGTGGGGTCAAGATAACCAATATTTTTGAATTTGAAAATGAACTCAACCAGGACTGGCTTGCTGTGGGGTCAAGATAACCAATATTTTTGAATTTGAAAATGAACTTACCAGAACTGGCTTGCTGTGGGATCAAGATAACCAATAATTTGAATTTGAAAATGAACTTACCAGGACTGGCTTGCTGTGGGGTCAAGATAACCAATAATTTGAATTTGAAAATGAACTTACCAGGACTGGCTTGCTGTGGGATCAAGATAACCAATACTTTTGAATTTGAAAATGAACTTACCAGGACTGGCTTGCTGTGGGGTCAAGATAACCAATATTTTTGAATTTGAAAATGAACTCAACCAGGACTGGCTTGCTGTGGGGTCAAGATAACCAATATTTTTGAATTTGAAAATGAACTTACCAGGACTGGCTTGCTGTGGGGTCAAGATAACCAATAATTTTGAATTTGAAAATGAACTTACCAGGACTGGCTTGCTGTGGGGTCAAGATAACCAATATTTTTGAATCTGAAAATGAACTTAACCAGGACTGGCTTGCTATGGGGTCAAGATAACCAATATTTTTGAAGTTGAAAATGAACTTAACCAGTACTGGCTTGCTGTGGGGTCAAGATAACCAATATTTTTGAATTTGAAAATGAACTTAACCAGGACTGGCTTGCTGTGGGGTCAAGATAACCAATATTTTTGAATTTGAAAATGAACTTACCAGGACTGGCTTGCTGTGGGGTCAAGATAACCAATATTTTTGAATCTGAAAATGAACTTACCAGGACTGGCTTGCTGTGGGGTCAAGATAACCAATATTTTTGAATCTGAAAATGAACTTACCAGGACTGGCTTGCTGTGGGGTCAAGATAACCAATATTTTTGAATTTGAAAATGAACTTACCAGGACTGGCTTGCTGTCGGGTCAAGATAACCAATATTTTTGAATCTGAAAATGAACTTACCAGGACTGGCTTGCTGTCGGGTCAAGATAACTAGACTGTGAGCCATTCTGTAGAAGTGCTCTAGAAATGCAACCTTCCTTACATGAAAGGTTACACATTCCAACCTATTTCAAACCATCTGTATGATTATACTAGACACTTTCTGGGTAGTTGGACTTTCTATCGGGGTGGTAGACGGCCCTCAGACCAATTAATACCCCTACCCCCAAAAAACTATGGGGGTACTTTAATACCACCCAATAAAAAGAATACTAATGCATGTCTGATATTCATTGTTTTATATTGAGTAGGGCATGTTATGGTTAATAAGTGCCAGAAATTTCCAATCTCCAACTTATATGGTTACCATAGAAACAGTATTTATATCTCGAAATATTCTCAATTTGACCCCCTCCCAAATGTGTCCCTTTGTGTCTAAGTGAAATATTTCAAAATCTGTTTGGATTTTATGGCTGCTACTTTGTCAAAATTTGTAATATTATGTCTATATTAACACTAAAACACTTAAAAGTTGATATAATGATCCTATAAATCAATAATATTTATCAAATATAGTCACACATAGCTGCTTTCAGGGAAAAGTGGGCGTGGCACTTTTTGGTACTTGTGCGCTTGTTGCAGCATTAAATGAAAAATGCAGATTACATTAACAATAATTGACATTTAATTAGCATCTACTAATGTTGTGTAACATTGTAATATGTTCATTATCATTATTAGACACTTTAAATATTTAATATAAGTGTTATCCTGACCCTTCCCTATCATAGGTCATCAATGGTCAAATGAACTTTTAGTTTAAGTCTTATAGGGTCCTCAGTCTTTTAAGCCTGTCAAGAGTCAAGACTTATTTATTCATTGACTTGTTCCTAGAATATGAATGGATAAGTTCAAGTCATCTAGAGCTATTCAAGTCATCTATGCTTGTTCAACAATGTTCAATATTTAGAACCATTTTACCATGTTTACTGCAATTGAAAAGTTCAATCCTTTTGGTATGATATTTGATGCTAGTGTGAATTGCATAACATTTATGATTAAACTTAAATGAACTAATTTAACTCTGGCTATTAACCCTTCCCTAGTATCCTTCACATAACCTCTAAATCATCTTCATATCCATGGCCTAAATGGGGAAGGAGGGAGGGGTTACAAATAGTGACCGAGGATAATTTGAATCAAAGCAAGAAGACGTAATACTCAAAACTAGAAAGATTGGAGACCATTTATACCCTTCCTAATATTTTGCCTTATACATAACACTAAAATATATTTTGTCAGACACTTGCTGATTCTTTTATCAATACCTCAACATCAGGTAATGCATGATCTATCCAATGGATTAAAGATTATACTTGATTCTAATATGGCAAAATTAATTTTTCGTATGAATTGCATAGAGCATCATTTTGCAGTTATAATAAAATGCAACTATTCATTCCTTGGCTCATATTTAACAAAAAAGCTATTCTCTGGAAGGTACAGTATAATTTCTATTAGTATTTAGCAAAATAATTGCAAGATAAACAATTTACACATGTTTCTGATATGCTGTATTTTCAATGATTCCTTCAGTGGTTCGGTATATGTTTTTGAAATACTTCATATAATTCCTAAACAAATCTGTTTAGTGTATGAAATCAAAGTAGATACATTTGTCCCATACTTGGATATGTTTCAGATACATATAGCAGGTTTATAAATACTTTTATCCCATACTTGGACGTGTTACAGGTACATAAAGCCGGTTTGTAAAAACTTATATTTTCATCAGCGGGCAGATATAGCTTTACGTCCCGCTCCGAGCGGGCAGATATAGTATATCTGCCCGTTACGTCATAATCGCCACTCGCATATTTGTTCATAATTTGTAACGTTCGTGTAATGACTGTAAACGACAATGGAGAAAACACAGACAATCGGGATCTGTTTGATGGTTTAAAAAGGGAAGGAGCATCCACTTAATCAATCAAAAATTCGAGAGAATAAATGTGGGAATATTTTTGAGAACAGGAAAATCCCCTCACGAAAACAAAACTGGACGTGAATATTCTAAAATATTTCCACGATGGAACAATGTGAACCAGATGACCAAGATTGGTATGGGATAAACATATTATCCTATAGTCGGTTCAGGATATTGGGATTATCCCTTCTCCAATATAGTATATTTTCCCTCGGGACCTGCGGCCCTCGGGCAAATATATTATATTGGCCTCGGGATAATCCCAATATCCTGAACCTCATATAGGATAATCTCTATATATTTTCATCAGCGGGCAGATATAGCTAATGTCCCTGCCTGAGAGGGCAGATATATTACACCTGCCCACTAAGTCATAATCATCATTTGTGTATGATTAGCAATGAGGGAAGTGGCATACTTAATACATATGTTAATAATCAATGATTCGAGAATATGTGGATGAATACTTAAAAACAGGAGAATCCTCCTAAGGCCAAGAAAACAAAATTAGTCATGAATACATTCATTTGGTTGTATTCTTTCTAACTCTGGCCAATTGAACAATGTGAACCAGATAAGAAAGATTGATATGGGATAAACAGATAATCATATAGTCAGTTCATGTTATTAGGATTATCCCTTGGCGAATATAATATATCTTCCCTCAGGACCTAAGGCCTTTGGCCAATAGAAAATATCTTCCCTCAGGACCTACGACCCTCGACCAGATATATTGTATTGGCCTCGGGATAATTCCAATACCTTGAACCTCATAGAGGATAATCTCTATTCGTCTTCATCAATTATTATTATACATATAAATCGGGATATAAATATAACCTAAAGTAAGAAATCACATTCTCTAACCAGTAATATTTAATTTTAAAATTGGTAAATGATGATTATGTCACAATAGAATTGATGACCATGATTTATTTGAGAATAAAACAGACAAAACAAAGGCTAACAAAAATCTTTAAAAATTTGGGTAAAACATAAATATTTTAAAATTGCTTGTTTTTCATCATTATTACTTCGATCTCCAAACCCCAAAAATTGAGTGTTACAAATTGTTTCAAGATAAAGTATGCCTAATTTCATGAGCGAACTAGTAATCTTGTTGGATACTTTTTCCTCGACAATGCCTTATTTAATTCATCTATATACAAACTACATGTACTAGATTCCAAATGCTATTTTACAGGATGGGTGTTCATGAAAGTAACACTAAACATCAATTTTGTCATAAACTGAACAATGCAGCTAATTGATTCTCCCATCTAAGCAACAGAGCCTGTTTTAATATATTGTAATTTCAAAATTGCCTCTAATGAAGTTCTTCAATCAAATCTAAAATGGACACAACTGGTAATATCTTTATACCATATGAGTAGAATGTTTGTTTCTTTCAAATTCATGCTTTCGTTAGAAACATGGATATCACTAATTCATAGTTTTGATCCATATTTAAAATGGTGTGCATTATATATGAGGTTTAATTAATGGGAAGTTTTTAATACAGGGAAATACAATATATCTGTGGGAAATACAATATACCTCCCCGAGCAGGGGTTGAGGGTAGAATATTGTATTTCCCAAGGGTTATACCTTGTACCCAAAATTATTTATCATATACTAATATACGAAAATATGAGAAATTGCACAGAATGAAATTCCTGCAGGGGATTACAGAGCAGGTGATAAACCTGGCGATACATAGAGATTATCCTATATGAGGTTCAGGATATTGGAACTATCCCGATTCAAATATAATATATCTGCCCAAGGGCGATTATGATGGAGTGGGCAGATATACTATCGCTACTAAGCTCGCAACAGAACGTAAAGCTATATCTGCCTGCTGATGAAAATATAAGTTTTTTCAAACCTGCTTTATGTACCTGAAACACAACCAAGTATGGGATAAAGCGGGATAAGCAGTACATGTATATCCCCACTCACCTAAGGTATCAATTATATTCATGCATTTTATTTACCTATAACACTAAGTATAGGATAAATAACTTTTACTGACAAATTATATAAGTGCATGATTACATTAGTCACAACTACTCACTAAAAGGTAACTTATTGCATGAAGAAATGTAATTCTTCATGAAGATTTCAAATATGATATCACTTATTTGACTGAATTTTGAATGATGTAAAGCAAGATTATTTCTACTTGCATCTAAGTCTATTTCATTGTATAAGTCAACAATTAATAAGGCAAATACATATCACTGTCTTCCCTGATTCATTTAGATTCCTTGCACTTTTAAAATCATCAATAATTCATATAGGGTTGAACTATTGAATAATGAAAATGTTGCAAATGATGTGATAGAAGTTTTTATACTATTTAGCTTGGAAATATTGCTGATATAGTTTTAATGTGATTTTAGGAGATTAAATGTTCTACTGAGGAACTTTGATTATGTTCAATTTACTATGATCTTTAACTTTCTGAAAAAGGTCGTGCTAAATTCTCATTGAGACGATGTTAAAAATCTTAATGTTGACTTCCTAAATGTTGAATTCCTTTGATTGTCATGAATTTAAGGTTCACACAAAATCTGAAGATCATCTAGTTTCAAACACAATCTGAATCTCATTAAGTTTGATGCGAAAGCAGTTTTACTTTAATCCAAAATAACAAATATGGTAAATCAATATGTGTCTATGGTAGATGCTAGCGTGTAGTCCAACCAGCACAATTGCTGCCATCTACCTATCCATTCATCAGTTTAGCACCTAATAAGGTCAGTACTCATGGTAAAGCTTTTGTACCTTGTCTATGGTAAAAATAAATCAAACAGAAATGTTAACTTGACACGATTGGTAATGCCCACCTTGAAGGGTGTAGGGATAAAGGGAAGGGTCAGGATAACACTTATATAAAATATTTAAAGTGTCTAATAATGATAATGAACATATTACAATGTTACACAACATAAGTAGATGCTAATTAAATGTCAACTGTTGTTAGTATAATATGTATTTTTCATTTAATGCTGCAACAAGTACACACGTACCAAAAAGTGCCACACCCACTTTTCCCTAAAAGCAGCTATGTGTGACTATATTTGATAAATATTATTGATTGATAGGATCATTATGAACACTTTTCAGTGTTTAAATGTTAAAATATACATATTGATACAATTTTTGACAAAGTAGCAGCCATAAAATCCAAACAGATTTGCAAATATTTCACTTTGAGAACAAAGGGACACATTTGGGAGGGGGTCAAATTGAGAATATTTCGAGATATAAATACTGTTTCTATGGTAACCATATAAGTTAGAGATTGGAAATTTCTGGCACTAACTAACCATAACATGCCCTACCCAATATAAAACAATGAATATCTGACATGCATTAGTATTCTTTTTATTGGGTGGTATTAAAGTACCCCCAGGGTTTTTTGGGGGTAGGGGTATAAATTGGTCTGAGGGCCGTCTGCCACCCCTATAGAAAGTCCAACTACCCAGAAAGTGTCTAGTATAATCATACAGATGGTTTGAAATAGGTTGGAATGTGTAACCTTTCATGTAAGGAAGGAGTTACAATTATCAGAGTGGGCCGTAGTCTAAACCAATATTTTTGAATCTGAAAATGAACTTACCAGGACTGGCTTGCTGTCGGGTCAAGGTTGACAGAATCTCGTAGAACTTTCTCTGCCATTCTGTCTTTATGCAAGTGATGAAGCACCATTCCCTGCATTATAAAAACAAACAAATTTGAGAATCCATATTTATGCAAGATGTAAGCCAATAATGTACACAGCCAATCTCAAACAGCGTCAAACAGCGCTGTTTATGAAACAGTGCTGTACAATGCAGTAAGTATGATGTACAAAACAGGTGATGTTAGAATAGCACTGTACATCGCTGTACAGCGCAGTGCTTGAACTGCACTGTTCAGCGCTGCAAGATGATGTTGTGGATTGGGGGGTGTAAGACTCTGAACATCTTGGAGAAAACATATTTTTTCTACATTTAATTAGTAAAGAACATTCCAGATATTCTCGAACCATCATGTAGCATCATATACAGTAAAACATGTAAAGTGGAACACTTCTATAAATGGAACATTTCTGTGAGTGAACACTTTTCAGAGTCTCATGACCAACTGACAATGTTAAATGAAGCTCTAAAAGCAAAGTTCATTCATTCTGCTGGTCCTAAAACAGCAACTAAAGCTTCTGAACAATGATATTAAATCATACTGATATCAGAATACCTACAAACATTTTTATAAAATTCAAAGAAAGCTGAACTTTTTTTTAGCAGATGAATGATTGTATTTTATAAATCTATGTGAAATAAGAAGATGAAACTCTTTTTACTCACTAAATGCTGTTGACTTTTGATGTGGACTGGGTTTATGGAGAGTGCATTTTCATAGCACTTTTTGGCATCTTCAAATTCACTCCTGTGTTCATGGACACGTCCTCTCTGTGAACAAAATAAGAGTGAAGTTCAAGGAACAGTACATGTACAGTAAGACCTGTAGATCGAAACACCTTTTTATCATGAACACCTCAAAATGTAAACACATTTTCAGTAAATCTAGTAGGTAGTTAAAACTAGACAACAGCAATGCCAAAGCATTGCAAATCCCATCGAACAGCAATGGCTGGCATTTTTACAAACGAAATATATAGCAAAAATCGTAAAATAACACAAATAAGAAAGGCCACCATTTTCAAAATGGTTGCTCACTAGCCAAGTTGTCATCAGAAAAAGTAATACGCCTTTAAGTAGGCAATATAAAATATTTTAATAAAAATCACACACACGTACATGTACCCAAAATGTCATAAGAAGCCATTTTTTAACGAGCGGCCATTTTTAAAATTGGCTTTCAAGCAGAACTTGTACTCCCATAGGGCACATGTGTACAAAATATGAACAAAATCGGGCGAATGGTATTTGAGTTATTACCCGAAGAGACAGACGTATGTACATACATACGGACGGACGGAGGCGTTCCCTATATCCCTCCAAACTTCGTTCGATGGGATAATTATAAATCAGGGAAATATACTAGTAACACACAAAGATGGTTCATAACACAATTACTATCTATTTTTCACAATCTACGTATACCTACTAGAGGTGTGCACTGTTGGTAAATCACTTAATCGATTAACAAAATATTTTAATCGATTAATCATCGATTTATCATTCTAACATAAACGATGGAGATCTGACATAATTTCCCTTCAATTTTCTAATTCTTTAGTAGTAGGCGATAATTCATTCGTTTGATTTGATTGCAGACCTCTATTTAATATATACGAGTATATATCAATATAAGATGTATCAGTGAAACACAAAAAAGAGGTAACCGTCGGGCTTAGGCTAAGCTTGTTTGGCAGTTTGAGTTTTAAGCTTGGCATGTCATCCTGACAAATCAGGTCTCAATCAGTCAGTGAAATCAAGTAAGCTTACTCACAGCAGGATATTGAAGATTATCTTTTTGAGAATCAGTTAATTGAGTATTAAAAATCTTAATCGATTAAACTTGTGTCGATCAATTAATCGATGATCGATTAAAAATTCACACCTCTAATACCTACCATATATGAGACCTGATGGGATAAGGGGTATATAGTGGCCGCCTCTTGTACACTGGCATTAGCATCGGCGACCCTGTCCTCATTTAAATATAGCTCACCTAAAACATTACATAAAGGTTTACAGGCCCGTAGCCAGGGGGGTTCGATAGGTTCGAGCTCGAACCCCCCCTGACCAAAAATTCTTACAAAATCAGGCAGTGTTTCACCATTCTGAGCACTTTTTAAGTGATTTTGGCCATTTTGAACCAATATTGTCAAAAGTGAACCCCCCTAGAATTTTCCAAAAAGTGAACCCCCCTTGGCAAATCCTGGCTATGAACCTGGATTACATGGATAATTTTTGTCAATGAAGCAAATATAGAATCGAAAAGATCACATTATACAATAACTGTTCCATAAGCTCACACTTTGAAGCAATATTTGTGTCTGTAAAACTCCAAACAAATCATTAAAATCAGAATGTCACCACCTTCCACTTGTTACAGATGCAAAACAACTACTGCCATTACCAGCTACCAAACACCAACCACCGAACAGCATCACAAAAAAGCTGGAGACTAATAACAATGTCACCAATTCTGGTGGTGACATAGTATATATGTCACCAATACTGGTGGTGACATAGTAAAGTACTCACCTAAATGCAACCATATTTGTGTCTGTAATGCCCAAGCATGTTGGGGGCCTTGTTTAGGTATATGACTACTGTTCATAGAGGATGCTACATCACTAAGGGCTTGTTCTACTCTAGAAGCTGCTATGGAGTCAGCTCTCACAGAACCTGAAACAATATGTCCGGTCAAAGCATTAATCATATTTTTGTTAAGAATAGATCATAGAGAAGACTAAACCATGTAATCATCTCTCGAGCCAGAAAAAAAGATATTCAACCATTTTATTGTCTATTTAAATTGTTTCAAAGTAAGCAGAAATTCAATCATTTCTGACAATAAATTTCTGGAAAACTCTATAAAAACATCGCCGTGAAGTGGTCACAGAATGTTCAAAAGCTGGTATTTTTTTATTAAAAACATTGTTAGTTTCTCAATATTCATTTGTGATCATGTTGACCATTAATGGTGATATCATACTGGAATATTCCCAGAAGAGAATCACCTCAATCAAACACCAAATAGCACATTAATAGAGTAAGTATATGTAGGAAGTGCAAAGGGATTTGTTTTAGTTCTTGGCTGTATTTATCTATTGTTTACCTGAATCTTCACTGCGTAGTTCTGTTAGCTGTAACTGTGCAAGACCTCTCTTGTCTGCAGTGACCTTCTCTATAAGACCTGTGCCCCGGCGCTCATCACTGAAAAATATGTTCAAACATGTGCTGATGTGTCAATGGCGTGGGTATATTCACATACATTCTGGAAGGGGGGAGGTCGTCAATGGAATTTTGGGGGTCTTATACTTCCTCAGTTTCCAATTTGTGTGAGTTTTACAACAAAACCAATCAAAAGTAGCATGTGTCAATCACCAATAGTGTTGAGCATTCACACTAAAATTTGCAGGGACCTAGTAAACTCTAATCTACTGAAAGAGGACTTTAAATAAGTGCTCATCCTAATACACTATATTGCTAAATGTTTGTATACAGGGTGTCAAAAAACAATGGCACACCCCCTCTACTGCAAGAATTCCTTGATGCTACATATTGTGTCATACCTCATTTGAAAGATAATTTAATTCTGGAGTTACTCATCAAATTTCATTTAATAAAACTTTATATTAAAAAAGCTACATTGTTTCAAAGTTTGCTACTTCGGTACTTTCTTTGATGCTCTGTTACTGGTTAAATGTCAAATCTTAAGAAAGTAAAATATGAAAGAATTAGTCCAGATTTCAACTACACTGAATATATGGGCTCAGTTCTAAAAAACAGAGTATAGAAATTGATGGAAAAAGAGTCTCTTGAAAAAAGATACAGTGAGGATGTGATTCTGAAGAATGTGAGGAAAGTGCTAAGAGGATTATGCAATGCTTTTATCTGAATTTTTATTGAAATCATATCCATCCAGATAAACTGCTGTTCGAGCAGCAACTGGGTGATCATACCAACTTCTAATAATCCGCTGTAAATCTGTAAAATTATACGATATAAAGCTGATACTTCTCAGGTAACTCCAGAATTAAATTGTCTTTAAAATGAGATATGACACATCATGTAACATTAAGTACATTTTGCTGTAGAGGGGGGTGCCGTTGTTTTTTGACACCCTGTACATTTGCATTTTTTGACAAGCCACTTTTTGATTAACATATACTCACTGATCTATGGATGTTTCATACAAGTTGCGCCATATCTTCAACATATCTAAACATGTTCCTAGGGCCTCTTCACTACCAAACAGACATTCCTCGAGTTTGGACCTTGTGAACAGTAAACTGAAACAAAAATTATTGCATGTAAATTATAGTTTAAATAAATATATTACCATATAATGAATTACCAGCCATTTAAAACTAGTCCTAGTTTAGTTTAGTCCTCTTTATATACTCAAGATATCAACTCCTATAAAAGCACCTTTTTTATCTGTTATATCTCAAAAAGTTGAAAGGTTTTGATTTGCAAAAAAATCCATCAATCATCCAATCCCAAATAAAAATAATTTCTATAAAATCACCTGAGATTGTCAGGATATTCTGCCAACGTGGCCTCCATAAGGTCTAGAGATTCCTGATATTGTTTCTGCGCAGATAACAGTAGTATTAGAAGATGTAGGGAATGAATATGGTCTGCTTTCTTCTCAAGCGCCATCTTAGTGTACTTCACCGCCTCTGATACCTATAAACAACAAAAAAATATTGAAATTAGAAATTTCTGAATTTACTTACTATCTTCTAAGAATAGCACATTAGAGCTGACTTAAGTTTCTAAAAACATTAGATCGTTGTATCTATTAGGGCAGAGCATGCATATACCATATAACATTGGTTCCTTGTTCAGATAGTATGGCTTTTTATACTAGTTAAGGAACACATCACAAGTGAAGTGATAATCCAAGGAAAGGATTGTTATTGATTTGACTAAGTTTATTGTTGTTATAGAACTTCAATTTCCAAAATTGAAAACCCTCTCATGCGTATTATAAACATGTACATGAATATACACACATATATTACATGGGAAATTAAAAATTCGTACAAAGTCCATAGTCCTTGTTGGTCAATCCGAAACATCTATGATATTTTCACTACTAAGCTCCAATGTCTCAGATTTCTTTTTTTGTTCAACAAATGGCTTACCTGGCGTAGTGTTGCCAGATGCAGGGCAAGGTGGTATAAGGCCAGATAGTCCTGTGGGTCACAACTGTGGGCTCTATAAGTACATAAGCCATGTTAAAGTGCTTAAACACATTCTAAATTGTCCTATAAAATAATATGTACTTAAATGGAGCATTTAATATTTAGCCAATAAATTTTGAGACAACTCAAGAGCCATTTGTGTGAGACCCCTGTGAGGAGAGGGTTGGGAACCAGGATGAAATTTTGCAAACTGGATTCATCCCAGGAGTTTTCTGAAATGCATTTTTGCAGTAATCAGAATTTCGAGTACGTTTGATGAGCTCTTATTGCTCCTAGGATGGGAAATTTGACCCATGATGAATATTGATCCATGGGAAGGGGATTTGAGAGTCAAATTTTCAATTTGCCCTTATCCCCACCCCTTACTGTGTGGGGCCTCTCATGCAAACCTTTGAATGGGGCATTTACACAAACCTCTGGAATGCCTGTAGTGCCTTAAGATGGAGTTCCTCTCTCTCTAGCCTGGTCTTAGACTCACTAGCCTTAAGGCACTGACCCATCCCAACAGCAACATAACCCTTGCCAAGCAGACCATGTTCTCCAAGGTCCACTACACGCTCGGAGAACTCTAGACCTTCATCAATCTGTAGAGAACAAATGGATTATTCAAACATAGTCATATACATGTCATTTAAGATTCAAAGGCTTATTTCAGGATGTGGTTTCATTCAGATAATGTCCATTTATCCAATGTTCAATTTTGTATGTTTAATTACGATATTTAGGGGCGAGATGTCATCTGCCCACCTGCCTGCTACACATGAAGCTAATGACAATATCGATATACTTTTCTTAAGTACACTAAAAATTCACATTGCTTGGATACATGTTTTGTTATATTACAAAATTAACTTACAAGATGTAAAGACTCGTAGCATAGCTTTGCCGCCTGCAACATCAGAACTGCATTCCTTGGTTCCATCTTTGAACATTCACGCAGCACTAGAAGAGCTCTGGTGGGCTATAATAGTTAATCAGTTTAACCTTAGCAAAATAATAGATAACCCCTTATTTTAGTTTCAGAATTGTTAAGATTTGATCATTCAGGTATTTTCATTTCGTGAAAACATGTTAACTCAGAGAATATGGATAAAGATAAATGCTGGTGTCCAATATTATCTATTTTCCCACTCTTATGTACATCCTATGTACAGTAGTAGATTCATATACTGGGGAGTGGTACAGTCCAGGTTTATTACAATACATGTACTTCATGGTTCTTAACAACCCCTTTCCATAATAGAAAATATAGAACTAGATGGTTCTTACCTTCTCAGCACATATAAGGGAGAGGGCAAACTGGTACCAGATATGGAACTCATCAAATGAAAACCTCATGGCTCTCTCAAACGTCTGCAAGAAAATATGGATATCCTTTCATTAAAATTGAGCATATAGCAGATGTTTAGTTTCTAAGCACTCATCACCAGTTACTCAGGGCTTCATGAGAGAACATTAATGTTGGAGGATGGGTAATTAATCTTATGGCTTTCTCCAATGTCTTGAAGATATATGGGTATCCTATTTTATGTGGATAAAAATTGACCATGGATGTTTGGTTCTTAGCAATAATCACAAAGAACCCAGAGCTTATTGAGACAACATTAATGTTGGAGGATGAGAAATTATTTTTTTATGAAGGAAAAAGTTATCTTACATTTAAAACTCAAACCATCTTAGTTTACAAATGCTGTTTAAAACAAACTTTCAAAAGAAATATTTTCATCCAAAATTCAACTTGTAAGATTTACTGCATGACTACTAATTTGAAAACAATAACAATATTTTCATACAAATCAGACAAAAAACCTGGAAACTCAAAATAAGAGTCTGCAGTAATTACCTCAGAAAGCATTTCAAACTGGGCTCGTTTAACAAGACATAATGTGAGAAGGTCATATACAGCTGTAGTATTATGGAATGTATGTAGTCTCTGATCCAGTAGTTCAGGGGATCTATTTAGCACAGCTTCTCGCGTTGCCATGGATTCAGCTATTAGGAGTAGCAGCAATGTCTCTTCATTTTCATCATGAGGGGAAAATAGCCTGAAATCAAGGGTAAGTTAGAGTTAGTGGACTATCCTTTGAGAAGGACAAAGAATTTTACAGGTTTGCATTTGATAATCAAGAATTACAGAGGTACACTAATGTGAGTATATAAAGAACCATTTTTGAAGGATCAGAATGACATGCTTTGATTGGTTTACTATAAGTCAGAGGTTGATTTGTAAAATAAAGAGGGCTACATGAAAAACATTTCTGTACACCACTTTTACAAAGGGTACGGATTAATTAAACAAATCGTACTACAGCCAAGATTTTAATAGAATAATGGTGTGCATTCTATATTTTTACTAATGTCATTTTTACAAACAATCTGTTCTGTTTTTAGCATTTCAATACAATTTAGTGTGTTAGTTTAATGCCCATTGGCTTAATTTCTTGTTAGTTCCACTTTTTTTGCACTTAACAACATGAACATCATGATTTTTTCTTATGCCTACCTATCTCCTGTGTATGTCCGGGGGCAAAGGGTAAGACCATCTTTCTCCGTTAATGTATTGTATGGGGTTGAAATTTGAGGTTTATGGTAAGTTTTTTCACAAACACCACGCAACAATACCTCTGCTAACTGACGGGCTAGAGTCTGAAACAAATCACGAACATGTACAATTAACAATAATTGACCAATCGTGAAATTATAACCAAGATGTTCTGGTTTGACTGCAAGAACTCTTTCTTGGTCCAGAGATAACCTAAGAAAATTGTTCACCACCTACTGACCAATCAAAATCAAGTATTTCTATCAAGGCTTTTACAATACAGATTTATAAAGTAGAGCGAGATGTATGACAGGGGTTAAAACATGTGAATAATCAAACTCACAACTTCCTCATAACCCGTAAGCGCTCTCTAAGTATTATTTCTTAATTTTCGATTCATATAAGGCAAAATTATGACATACCTGTCTTAGGCCCTGAACAGATCTTGTCTCTACAGCCCTTAAGAGATCTCTGAATCTATTGATTCCTTTACAGAGCTCCCTATAAGTAAATAAGATTTTTTAAGGGAAGAGTTGCAAGGGGGTGGAATTATTTTCAAGGGAGATTGGAGTTGAAAAAAGGGAAATTGAAAAGAATTACTGACAATCAAAAAGTATCCATAAATGATACAGCATTTTGGATTTTTGTGGAATAACAATATCCATATTGAAAAATTAAAAGCATCATTTTAATTTACAATACTTACCCATTCTTGATGTACTGCAGAGGTGACCTCTGTATGGCTGTCTCTATAATACTGCCAACATTTTCCTTGCCTTCACTGCTACTCCAGCTCCATGAACTCCCAGGGGTGAGACTCAGTGAGTTACCTATGTAAACAATAGTGAAACATGTAATCACATTGACATTTTCCTTGTCTTTTCTGCTAACTGATGTGAGTAACCTATGTATACAAGAGTGAAACATGTAATCACATTGACATTTTCCTTGTCTTTTCTTCTAACTGATGTGAGTTACATATGTAAAAAATAGTGAAACACGTAATTACATTGACATTTTCCTTGTCTTTTCTTCTAACTGATGTGAGTTACCTATGTAAACAATAGTGAAATATGTAATCACATTGACATTTTATACAATAGTGAAACATCCTTATCTTTTCTTCTAACCGATGTGAGTTACCTATGTAAAAAATAGTGAAACATGTAATCACATTGACATTTTCCTTGTCTTTTCTGCTAACTGATGTGAGTAACCTATGTATACAAGAGTGAAACATGTAATCACATTGACATTTTCCTTGTCTTTTCTTCTAACTGATGTGAGTTACATATGTAAAAAATAGTGAAACACGTAATTACATTGACATTTTCCTTGTCTTTTCTTCTAACTGATGTGAGTTACCTATGTAAACAATAGTGAAATATGTAATCACATTGACATTTTATACAATAGTGAAACATGTAATCACATTGACATTTTATACAATAGTGAAACATGTAATCACATTGACATTTTATACAATAGTGAAACATGTAATCACATTGACATTTTATACAATAGTGAAACATGTAATCACATTGACATTTTCCTTGTCTTTTCTTCTAACTGATGTGAGTTACCTATGTAAACAATAGTGAAACATGTAATCACATTGACATTTTCCTTGTCTTTTCTTCTAACTGATGTGAGTTACCTATGTAAAAAAATAGTGAAACACGTAATTACATTGACATTTTCCTTGTCTTTTCTTCTAACTGATGTGAGTTACCTATGTAAACAATAGTGAAATATGTAATTACATTGACATTTTATACAATAGTGAAACATGTAATCACATTGACATTTTATACAATAGTGAAACATGTAATCACATTGACATTTTATACAATAGTGAAACATGTAATCACATTGACATTTTATACAATAGTGAAACATGTAATCACATTGACATTTTCCTTGTCTTTTCTTCTAACTGATGTGAGTTACCTATGTAAACAAAAGTGAAACATGTAATCACATTGACATTTTCCTTGTCTTTTCTTCTAACTGATGTGAGTTACCTATGTAAAAAATAGTGAAACACTTAATTACATTGACATTTTCCTTGTCTTTTCTTCTAACTGATGTGAGTTACCTATGTAAACAATAGTGAAACATGTAATCACAATGACATTTTCCTTGTCTTTTCTTCTAACCGATGTGAGTTACCTATGTAAACAATAGTAAAACATGTAATCACATTAACATTTTCCTTATCTTTTCTTCTAACTGATGTGAGTTACCTATGTAAACAATAGTGAAACATGTAATCACATTGACATTTTCCTTGTCTTTTCTGGTAACCGATGTGAGTTACCTATGTAAACAATAGCAAAACATGTAATCACATCGACATTTTCCTCGTCTTTTCTGGTAACTCCATGTGAGTCACCTATGTAAACAATAGTGAAACATGTAATCACATTGACATTTTCCTTGTCTTTTCTGGTAACCGATGTGAGTTACCTATGTAAACAATAGCAAAACATGTAATCACATCGACATTTTCCTTGTCTTTTCTGGTAACTCCATGTGAACTACCAGGGGTGGGACTCAATGAATTACCTAAGTATGTACACAATTACGTGGCTCATAAGTTTAATAGCGATTTGTGTTATTCTGTTTTACAGTTGAATGTACTTTGAGCTATTTCATTATAATCTTTCTCTTACCAGTGCTGTCCTTCTCTTTTTCTTGTAGATACAGTAGGGCAATGTCCCCACATTTCTCATAGCACCTCAGTATTCTCTCCTCTTTCTCTGCACGCTTGAACTTAGACGTTGCTGGTAACTTCTCGAGACACATACCTGAAACAAGTGGAATTGTGACAAAGGAGGTATTGCAACAAGGTTGAATTGTGACAAAAGTCCTATTGTGCAGTAAATACATCATGCTCTTGGAGGTCTCCACAGAATATTTTTCTTTGAGTGGGTACAAAATCATAATTTTACAATTTTTATGATTTCCTCATTTTCAAATGAGTGCAAATTCCCTTTCAAAATCTCTAGTAGGTGTACTGCACACTTGCTTTAAAGCTGGAGTGATTGCTCCGTTATATCGGCTAAAAATATTTATACTTTTATTTCATGTGCCATAATACTGAATATTCAAAACATCTAAATTGCATATGCAGAATCTTTTAAGGGTTAAACTGGACTTTGCAAATAGCTTTGCCATTTCAACTCTCTCTCAAGAATTTTGAGTTGGCAGGTTTGACCAAAAATAACCTGTATCATACCTTTAATTGCATAGGACTCTGCTATGATCCTCAGTGTGGAATTGGAGAGACTCTTTACAGGGATTTGTTCCAGATTGACTTTCTCAAAGGATGCCAGAGCTTCATTATATGCCCCCATGGCATACTGGGCCTTACCAAGTAGAAGCTGGGCCTCATTCAACACAGATGCATCCTGCAAAATTAAAAATACAGCAAACATGTATATTTGAATACCTCTCTAATTTGAACACCTCTCAAATGCACACTTTGCAGTCCCATTTTTTAATCTGTGATATATTACCATACTGACGAACCTTGAAATGTGAACACCTGCCAATTCGAACACATTTGTCTGGTCCTTGTGGTGTTCGGATGAGACAGGTTTTACTGTTGCAGAAGGATGATTCTTGGTAAGGGATGTGTCCAAATTTCAACAGTAATGCGGAAGAACAAAGTTAGTTTTCTTACAGTGTAAATGACCATTTCCTTTGTGAAGAATATTTATTTTTAGAAATGTGAAAGGCTGGTCATTTTTTCAAATTTCATAATATTGGGGGATGAGGTAGCCTTGCCAAAGTCAGTGTTAATGGAATTAACTTCATTGTCCCAGTTCTCAACATTTTTTCACTTCAAAATTTGACTATCCTACATTGTAACGCCTCTCCATATATAGGCAAAAAGGCGGAGTTCATACTTAACAATACTCTCCTTAAATGGCCAAAAAAAAGACAGCGTTATAGGATGACTGGCAGTTTCTATATCGAGATTCATCGTGAAAAATCACGTAAATTAAGGCCATCGCTCGGTTATATCCAGACAACTTGCTAGACATCGCTTCCATACACAATCAGAAGTTTCCAATTTGAGTGACATCTGACACTGCATACTAATTCTCAAATCTCAGAATTTATTTTTATGTATACATCACGGGGGATAAGCAAAACGAGGGCGAAGCCACGGACTGCGACTCGAGTAATTCAAAACGAGGTTACAACCCATTATAGCTGAACAATGGCGGTAAGTCCAAACTTAATTTGGAAGGCATGTTAGGATTTGGGGTAGATTATTGGTTTGGATATTCTACAGAATGAATAGTATGTTCCAGTCGGTGATCAACATATTCATACTCCACCTGCAATGGCATTCTTGGTGCTCGGCTGTCCAATAGTTTAGCATGAACACAAATGAATTCGAAATCTGCCACAAAAAATGTAATTTTGTCAATATTTGTCCCTAATATACCGATTTAAACAAAGGAATCAGAAATGACATCGAATTAATATAATTATTCATGTTCTGTTGTTACAATTACATCTTCCTGTGATATTTGGTAAGCGGAAAACGTACAATAACATAGAAAATTGGAATTTATAATAGTCGCAGTCCATCCATCTGCCCAACGCAGTCCGCGACTCAGTGTTGCTTTATATCTGAAGCTGAACGCAATCACAGCCAAAGGTAGATAGCACAATGTGTGTACAGGTGTGGCCGAAATGGAGCAACTTTGGAGAAAATTGAATATAAAGGGCTATTTTAATAGACCTACATCGTGTCTCAATCCATTCTGCAAATATATACAAGCTGTCAAATACAGCTGAAATCATGAATTTATGGTAGCTAGCAATATTGATGGACTGTTGGAAAGATCATCAAAAAATTACATTAACTCACCAACTCTCCAATTATTTGATATTTTCCTGATATCTTAAATACTAGTTAATGTAACCTTCCCCAACAGCTTTTATTGCGTCATCAAAAAGTTAATTGTTTTGCATTTCTACTTCTTATAAAAAGTCTCACCACTATCCAATTATCTATATATTTAACCCTATCCACAAATTGGTTTGTAATAAACATATTACGTTGTCATCTTGCGCTCGACTGTTCTGCCAAATACGCTATTGAATTGCCATATTTCTAGGTCTTAAACGATACAATATAGCAATTTGGGACATTGATTCAGGTAATAGATATATGTTAATGAACGTAACTTTGAATGATAATCTGGATGCTGACTTTCTTTTCCTGAAACAATAATAGCGTAGGAATATAGTTTACACTATCTTATTTATTTCGTGTTCGCGGCTGGACTGCGTTGCTTAGAATATCAATGGAGGCTGTGTTGCGTTGTTGAAATAGCTTTGTTTACTGGACTGCGTCCACTATGAATGCGCAGTTTGAATCTAATTTTCTCCTCATGAACACATTCTATTATCAAATCATTTTCACGAATTATACTCGGAGCCTCAACTAACCTTTAGATATCAGAAACGTGTTAAAACTCCTTTCAAATGTATAGTAAATTAAATAATATGCACATATTTTACAGGTAAAATCAGAACTTTGCTACTGTTTTAGCTTGATCTGGACAACTGCTTATTTTCTTATCTACAGACCAACAGTAGATACAGAGTAATATTTTGGTCACCGATTAGACACTACGATAGCATTTAAAATACCTGGATTTCTCTATTTTGTCGGAAGAAGCAGAAGGCACTGCCGGATGTCCCTCCATTTTGGCGCTGGGCTGCGGTGTAAAGTTACGCGAGTCGCAGTCCGTGGCTTCGCCCTCGTTTTGCTTATCCCCCGTGTACATTAAAGGTACTTTCAACAGTTGTGACCTTTAATATATACATGTAGTGTAAAACTACTGAGTAAAATTTCAATGATTTTAATACATGCTACACATATATTATAAATGTCACTTAGTTAAATATCCCATGGGATCAACATAGAAGCCAAGTTAGAATTTACCTTTGGATTGGCATGTATGACTTGTGTGAATTGAGCCACGACGTCACGCAGTCCACTTCTTGCTTTAATGGTGTTCTTCTCTGAGGGTGGATTTTCTTCCAAGTACTGCTCAAGTCTGCTCTGGCCTATTACTAGTTTCACCAACAGCTCTAAAGTGAGTACAAATACAGTTTTCATTTACAGCAGACCACAGTCAATAAGGTTGCTTTTACCAAAAGCAAAAGCGTGGATGTAACAAGTAGGGCTGGCACAGAACAGATTTCGGAACTTGCCGTTGTAATTTCAGACCCTAATGACTTACCATAAAACATATGCAAACATCAATATATTGCCATTGACAGGTATTTAAAAATTCGTGAAATTGAGGAAGTATGTAATGTCTTTCACAGGTTGCGTACTGGGTTATTCTAGAATGGGGGTCAGGTCAAATTTACTCCAGCAAGATCAGCTTATAAAGTGTCTTTGGTAATTGAGATTCACAATGGATGACATTGACAGAGATGACATTTGCTTAAAACTGAGGTGACGGGTACTGAGAAAATCAATGAGATGACGGGTGTATATTGAGGTTACTGTAGATTGGGTAAATTTGATACTACTTAATTTGGCGTTTTTGCTATTTTTGGCATAAACAGCTGTATATTTGCAGCTATTTAATTTGGTAGACATTAGGGCTAGGACATTGGTCTGACAGAACAACTTCCATATACTGGTAACATATACAGCTGTATATTTGCAGCTATTTAATTTGGTAGACATTAGGGCTAGGACATTGGTCTGACAGAACAACTTCCATATACTGGTAACATATACAGCTGTATATTTGCAGCTATTTAATTTGGTAGACATTAGGGCTAGGACATTGGTCTGACAGAACAACTTCCATATACTGGTAACATATACAGCTGTATATTTGCAGCTATTTAATTTGGTAGACACTAGGGCTAGGACATTGGTCTGACAGAACAACTTCCATATACTGGTAACATATACAGCTGTATATTTGCAGCTATTTAATTTGGTAAACACTAGGGCTAGGACATTGGTCTGACAGAACAACTTCCATATACTGGTATTACATATACAGCTGTATATTTGCAGCTATTTAATTTGGTAAACACTAGGGCTAGGACATTGGGCTCACAGAACAACTTCCATATACTGGTAACATATACAGCTGTATATTTGCAGCTATTTAATTTGGTAGACACTAGGGCTAGGACATTGGTCTGACAGAACAACTTCCATATACTGGTAACATATACAGCTGTATATTTGCAGCTATTTAATTTGGTAGACATTAGGGCTAGGACATTGGTCTGACAGAACAACTTCCATATACTGGTAGCATATACAGCTGTATATTTGCAGCTATTTAATTTGGTAGACACTAGGGCTAGGACATTGGTCTGACAGAACAACTTCCATATACTGGTAACATATACAGCTGTATATTTGCAGCTATTTAATTTGGTAGACACTAGGGCTAGGACATTGGTGTGACAGAACAACTTCCATATACTGGTAACATATACAGCTGTATATTTGCAGCTATTTAATTTGGTAGACACTAGGGCTAGGACATTGGTCTGACAGAACAACTTCCATATACTGGTAACATATACAGCTGTATATTTGCAGCTATTTAATTTGGTAGACACTAGGGCTAGGACATTGGTCTGACAGAACAACTTCCATATACTGGTAACATATACAGCTGTATATTTGCAGCTATTTAATTTGGTAGACACTAGGGCTAGGACATTGGTCTGACAGAACAACTTCCATATACTGGTAACATATACAGCTGTATATTTGCAGCTATTTAATTTGGTAAACACTAGGGCTAGGACATTGGTCTGACAGAACAACTTCCATATACTGGTAACATATACAGCTGTATATTTGCAGCTATTTAATTTGGTAGACACTAGGGCTAGGACATTGGTCTGACAGAACAACTTCCATATACTGGTAACATATATACAGCTGTATATTTGCAGCTATTTAATTTGGTAGACACTAGGGCTAGGACATTGGTCTGACAGAACAACTTCCATATACTGGTAACATATACAGCTGTATATTTGCAGCTATTTAATTTGGTAGACACTAGGGCTAGGACATTGGTCTGACAGAACAACTTCCATATACTGGTAACATATACAGCTGTATATTTGCAGCTATTTAATTTGGTAAACACTAGGGCTAGGACATTGGTCTGACAGAACAACTTCCATATACTGGTAACATATACAGCTGTATATCTGCAGCTATTTAATTTGGTAGACATTAGGGCTAGGACATTGGTCTGACAGAACAACTTCCATATACTGGTAACAAACAGGTTCTGTTCGATGCAACTTTCAAGAACTTCCTGCACATTTTGAACATCCACAAAACCTAAGCCAATTTAGAAGTGACATTTTCTACTTTTGTAAAAATTCAACTGGAAGTGACTTAATATTACTCACGTCGAGAGCTACCATGTTAGATTTTGAAAGTATAGCTCTCCATCGTGAGGATCTCCAGCTGAAGAATTGTGACATCTAAATTTGATCAGCGCCATTCAGCGGCTTACTGTTTGTCTCAAACTGTAGCCTACATATGTGTACATATGTGTCTACTTTCCCCGTGCATGTAGGATCGCGGATGTGCTTCTATGGCGATCAGGAGTTCTAATCGTTTTTTGAATTCATTGTTTGATACCCATTTCCAATATGGCGGTTAAACGGAAATATTATCGACGCATGCCCAACTTGGGAAACGTCAAGCCGCCATATTGAATACACCTGGCCAAAACTTTTGACACGACCAATAAAATGAAGTCCTGATCGATACATAGGGCAGTGAGACGTTCTATAGTTGAGCTGAATGAAAGACGGCGATGTAGGATACATTTTCAGGTATATAATGTGCAACATGAGTCAGCTGAATTCCCTGGAATTTTCTTTGAAGTCAGGATTCTTAAGCTGTTGATTCTAGCGATAGAGAGCTATACTTTCAAAATCTAAGTAGCTCTCGACGGGAGTAAACTTAATACACACACAGGATGAAATTTCCACTTTTTTTCAAAACTGAAATCACTTGTATCAACACATGCATCTACAGTGGCAACTAAATTTGTCTCGATGTGCCATAATCGTACATCGATTAATTGGCAATTTCAGGAGTAAACATTGATGCACATCACGATGTACAACTGAAAAAGGACGGAGAAAAGTGAACTGAAATACGAAACACAAATGCACTAAAATACTGAATGCAATAGATCTAATAGTACTTTGGTACTTCCAGTAATGGTGTAGTGAAAATTAAGTGAAAAATTGGAGGTCACTGGTCAGTTTCGACAAACTGAAACATTTAAAAGTGAAATAATATCTCATAACATTTCAAAACGAATTAATGAATAAGAACGGAAAAACATTTGCGTCACCACGGGATAAGAAAATGTGAATTTTAGCAGATTTAACTTTTCTTAATAAAACGATGTTTTGTTACAGACATCAATGCATCGGCAGGACCACTTTTGGTGATGCATATCGTGATATGTCGATTATCGCGACAACAGTACAGTGGCAACCTGGAAGAACAGTGGCAACCAATATCCTGACTATTTTAGCTCTAAAAGACAATAAACACAGTTTGAACTCACTGTTTTTCAGGGAAAATCTGCTATTTGTAGTTATCAGTCGATACTACAAGTTCCTGAGCTGAGAAACAAAAAATTAAAAATTATTTTTCAATATTCGAAATTTCCTGTGCAGATTTATGTACTTTTACTTGGACGAGATGACAACACAATGTACCACATACCTAGACTAGGTTGTTTACTTGTGACCTGAGCTGCTAATTCTATACATTTGCCCCATTTGGCCTCAGATCGACTCTTTTCGATCTCAGATTCGAGTCGATGAACTTTTGTTTTGGCCGCCATGATGAAAATAGTCTCGAAGGTTCCGGGTTTGAGACTATGTTCCGTAATTTACAAAAGTTGAACCCGTCCCCACGTTCGTTCTTTTACTTCCTGTAACCTAAGCGAGAGAAGGGTGAGAAAATTTTGGAAATATTTTGTTGACTTATGCCTAATTTATGCCCATATTATTGACCAAAACTATATATTTTTCAATTGCATTACAATCATTATTAAATGGAGAACAACTGTTCAATAATGTGTGCCGGTAGAGATCACCGAAATGTCTTACTTTACAAAGGTCGATTGAACAATTTTTGCCGGGAAAGGCCAAAGAGAATAACTCTTCTAAAAGATTGTCTTGATACCTCTATATTCTACCTGCAAAGTACTAAACTATCTCAGGCCCGTAGCCAGGATTTGCCCACATATCCGCAGCCAGATTCAGCTCCTGTTCGAGGGGAGGTTCACTTATTGAAAAATTCCAGGGGGTTCACTTGTGTTGTGACAATTTTGGTCCAAAAATGGCCAATATCAATTATAAAGTGCTCAGAATGGTGAAAAACTGCATGATTTTGAAATAATTTTTGGCCAGGTGGGGACGCTCGAACCCCCCCCCCCCCCCCTGGCTACGGGCCTGTATCTTATTGTCAACTTTGGCAAGCCAAAAATGAACAGATTACTGGCACATGACTGATATTATGGACCTTATGTCTTGTGTGAATGGATCCATTCTTACTTCTAATAAAGAGCCGATGTAAAAGGGTAGGAGGTCCTATCAAATTATGGTCCTACTTTCCATTGATAATATATGGTGACCTAAATACAACTCTTTCCCTTATTATCGTATCCACAATCAGGGCCAGAAAGGGCCTTAAAGAAAGGGGACCATAATTTCTTTTACACTGGGCATCCCCATCTAAGATTCTGCCTAAATCTCTCAAAATCCAAGATAAGCCTGGATACATATAGCATCAATCACTGTGGTGAATGAGAGTGGATCTGTTTTGGAAACAAAATGGATCGGCCTCGATGGTACAATTTTCTCTCTTTGTTTCGGCAGAATCTTCACGACCTTTTGTAGTTCAAATTTGTCACCAAAAAGGTCATAACGATTCTGCCTAAAACTTGTGGCATGAAATCGTGAAAATAGAAACATAACCCTGAGGCTGCTCCATATTGAGCTACAATGTTATTAATTATCTTGTAGAATAAACTTATCAGTCAATGCTGTAACTTCAACTTTGAAGGTTGCAAAGACCTGAAAATCTGTTTTAGAGGTCCTGTAATCATATTGTTTGTTTCAGTTCTCAATTAGGAATCATGCAGATCTTTGTGAAGACCCTTACGGGCAAGACCATCACCCTTGAGGTGGAGGCTGGAGACACCATAGAAAATGTCAAGGCCAAGATCCAAGACAAAGAAGGTATGGTTTATAAATACAGAAAAACTTATCTAACCTGTTAATTCTCTGGGACGGGCTAATGGCCAAAAGAGTTAGGCAGAGGATTAGTGGTGTTCTTATTTCAAGGTTTCTGAAGGCCAGAGTGCACTTTGGAATTTTTTTGCAATTTAGAAAAGTAAGCCACTGAATATTCTAGTTATTCAAACATTCTGAAGAATTATCAACCCTTAATTAATAGTCTATGTACACTAATGCATCTTTTGTGCAAGAATGAAAGATGTAGATGATGTGTGGAATGTGTTATGTTTATCTCAAAATAGCACATGGCCATTGTAATTTTATCAAAGATATGTTGTGTAATGTGCATCTTTCAAATTGGTGTTAAAAAATGCATATTTAATAATGTAATATTTGCACTGGTTTTTAGATTTTGACTACCATAAATGTTGACATGTTGATAACAGATTCCATTTTTCAGAGATTTATTTCTTCAAAATTTGCAATTAATTTGATATGGTATTTTTTGTTCTAGGTATTCCTCCAGACCAACAGCGTCTTATCTTTGCTGGCAAGCAGTTAGAAGATGGTCGCACACTGTCAGACTATAACATCCAGAAGGAATCCACCCTTCATCTTGTATTGCGTCTTCGTGGTGGAGCCAAGAAACGCAAGAAGAAGAATTACACAACACCAAAGAAGACCAAACATAAGAAAAAGAAGGTCAAGCTTGCTGTGTTGAAATATTACAAGGTAGGATTTAAATGAAATTCAAAACAATGATCTATTTATGGACCAAGTAGAAATGATTGCTAGGTTTAAAATAGAAAATAGGAAATATTTTATTGTGCATGAATAAAACTGAAAAATAGTTTAAGCTTAAGTTACATCTAGATGCCAGATGAAATCATATTATATTAAATTGTTTTCAACACAAATAGATTGAATTGAATGTATAGATGTTAAAGCATATGTTTGTTCACCACATTTTCTCAGCATTTATTGTGATGAAAGCCTTCATATGACCACAATGGTACATCTGCACTCTCTTGATTGGATTGGTCCAAGGAGACCTTTCCCATAATTCCAAGCAGATATTTCCCATGATTCACGTGGTCATGTGAAGGCTCCCTTACTAATTCTACATTTACTGACTTCAGGATGCTCTGCCACTCTGTATGTTTCTCCCTAAACGGTGATCTATGATCCATTTTTTCTAGGTTGATGAAAATGGTAAGATCACTCGTTTACGACGTGAATGTCCCAGTGACGACTGCGGTGCAGGTGTCTTCATGGCGTCCCACTTTGACAGACAATACTGCGGCAAGTGCTGTCTGACTTACGTCTACAGCAAACCAGAGGAGAAGGCATAAATAGACTCTGATCCGATTCTTATGTACAGATACACAGAATAAATCATTGAAACGAGAATCTATTATTATTATTATGTGCATATTGCAAAAGATGTGCTGGGAAACGGAGAGAAATGTTAGGCTGTCCCAAAAATTGTACTGATAAGAATACTAGTAACTCTGGGTGATAGAATATTCTTGAAACAATTAAATAACTAACTATTGGGTTTTAGAGAAAAGCTTCTTACCATCACAAACTCTATTTAGGTCATTAAGAGAATGTCAAATTTCTATGAATTTTTGACAGCTAATCTTGCAAAGTAAGACTTCTCAAAGAAGTATTTGCGTTTCATTTGTGTACAATTTTTGGGACATGGTATATTCAAATCGATTACTAACTGTGGAAATTCACGAGTTGACATTTTATGCCGTCACCAAAGGTGGTGACGTTGTTGTGGTCTCCATTTTTGTGACGGGGGTTTTCGTCCTGCGTCTGTAACAAATTATAAAAACTTCAATTACTTAGACAGTAAGATGGTTTATAACCTTTTTTACAAGTGATGATTCCTCTAATTTGGCTCAAACTGTGAGAGTATGAGACCTTTCCATTTAACAATTTTGGTAGAAATGTGTATTAGTCCTTGTGATAGTCTACAGTACAGTTGTGCAGAAAACCCACAGTTCAAATAAGTGTCAGATATTCTGCATTCATTGTGTAATAGTAGCTGTTACAGTATAACAGATTGTTTTTGAAATACAGTGCGTATCAAAAAAACGCAACAGATTGCTATCTCGGAAAAGCACAAAACCAGTGATAACAGCATTGATTTCATTCAATGCACCATACAGCCATGTGTCTCCTCTTTACAATGATATATTATTCATTGATTTTTGGTCATAGTTGGGCGAGTAATCATTCCATTTGCAAAGTGGGCCAAAATTAGTTTGGGACCAAGTTATAAACTGATAAACATCGCAAAAGTCTGTGTACGAAGCCCGATGCAATATTGAAAGAAAACATAAAATCAATGCTGACTGCATCCTTTTCATTCAATGCACCAAAAAGCCAAATTACTCGTCTTTGCAATGGAATATAATTCATTCACAGGGAGTCATGGCTGGGCGAATAATCATTAATTTTGCAAAGCGGGGCAAAACTCAGCTCGGACCCAAGTTTTAAACATCCTAAAAGTCAGTACAAGGGGCATAGGGGCTATTGAAAGAAGGTATGACAGGTGTGGCATAGACAGTAAAGTGTTCACACTTGCAAGAATACATCCTATACCCCTCCAAATTGCCACCACTTTCTTGCACATAAGATTCGCTCATCTATCCACGTCATGCATGGTTCAGCCCTGAGTCATCTGTGGGTTAAAGGCAGAGAAAAGCAGCCCATGGGCAATTCTTTCTCGAGGTTTTGCAATATCTGGTAGAGGAATTGTGAGCAAGATGCTCATGAGATAGCTCCAAAAGAAAAAGTCGCAACAATAAGCCCTTTTAGCCTAAGCTAATTCCATTTATAGATGGCAGTATGATAAAAATTCAGGAAATGATAACATAGAAGGTATGGGGATTCTCTAGATTTTTCACCCTTTTCTCTGATTCTTTGAAAAAATTATTTTTATTTAAAAAGATTCCAGGGCCATAGGTCATTATACGATTGTTATCTATTTAAAAAACATCAAAGATATATCTTTTCCAACTGTTATATAACTTGAAAGTGACTAATTGGTCAAGGGTCACTACAGGGCCATACATTACAATCATGTGAACTTTCTTCTTAGTATTTCTTCTGAAAGTACAAGATATCTAACATCTATGATTACATTTTATAGTGTTCGTTAATAAAAATGTCTGGAGAAAAAAACTTTAGAAACATTTTCAATGATGTCAAATATAAGTGTAAGTTGGCATATTGGATCAGTTTCTGAGTCTGCGAATAAATTATTTGGGATTAGCTATAAAACTATGTCTGAATTTAAACTTTCAAATCCTGCATCAAATATCTGAATGGTCTCTAACTATCTAGTTAACTTAACCTTTTATCCTGTATCAGTATGTGGACAATAGTAAACATTGTAATTCAAGCTGCACTTAAAACAAGCAGTATCTTACTGGTGGCTATATAAACTTATTGACCCCAGGTCATTTTGGTGATTTAAGCTGACCAACATCAAGCCAAATATTTTAAATAAAATAGCCAATATTCATCTTTATTTTCCATTATTTATGTTGTTTTAAAAGACTAAAAAACTTCATACCAATGATATATAAGATCTAACCTAAAAATCTCTTGATTTTCTAAATGAATGAGGAAACAGAAATGGTAGCTTTATGATGTTAAAATCATAGTATAAATGTGATGTTTTACATGTTGGTTCAATGGGGAACTGCTTTAGGCCTAAGATTCTTTTCCTGAAAATGGGCTAGACATCTATTGGCTGTTTATAGAGTATTTTCAACTATTTAGCTAGGCTAAACTCCTGTATTCAAGTAAGGGGAACTTCCATTGGCACTTAGCCCTTGCACTGATTTTTGCAATATCTAAAACTTGGTCCAGAGCCGATTTCGACCCACTGTGCAAATGGAAGGATTTCTTACCCAACATTAACTGTTAACACATGTGAATGAATGGCATATCATTGCAAAGAGGAGAGACGTGGCTCCATGGTACATTGAATGAAATTGATGTAGCTACTAGTCATCATTAGTTTCACTGGTGATCCACTCGATTACGCTGGTTACCGAAACGGTTCGTTTTGGTAACAAAATGTTGGAACATCGGAGGTACGATTTTTCTTTTTTCCTTATTTCACACGTTGTAGTCAGAATTCCCACGACATTTTTAACACAAACGTGTATGAGTATCATATGTTGAAGAAAATGTACATATTTGCGAAAAAATAGTTCAGAAGACAACAGAATCGTCGATTTAATTCCTCACTTTAAGTTACATAACTTTACGGTTGTTCGAAAAACAGTTAAGATCTGCACTTTTAACCCAAACCGTTTATGTAACTTCAGTGAGGAATTAAATAGACGATTCTGTTGTCTTCTGAGCTATTTTTTCGCAAACATGTACATTTTCTAAACAATATGATGCTGATACACGTTTGTGAATAAAAACGTCGTTGGGATTCTGCCTTTAACGCGTGAAATAAGGAAAAAGGAAAAATAATACCTTCGACGTTCCGACATTTTGTTACCAAAACGAACCGTTTCGGTAACCAGCGTAATCGAGCGGATCACCAGTGAGTTTTTTGATTCTACGAGATAACTACTTGTTGCGTTTTTTATACGCCCTGTATAGCTGCTAAAACTTTGGCAGTTTGGCTACGCCCATGAAGACATTTATGAAAGGCAAACACAGCTGGTTTTTGTGTTTATATAAAAGAGGTTTATTACAACAGTATAACAATATATACAAAATATATACATAATTTAACAAATACTAGATATATAACATGGTTTGTCCTACTATACATTATATACATATATGCATAAAAGTGCACATTCAAAATATAAAATGAATATTGATTGAACTTCTGTATTAATACGATTAACAATAAAATAAATACAAAAACACATGTATACATTAATTGATTACACCCGAGCCTATGCTCAGTGTCATGTAGGAATTTCTATGTATGTATGTATCTTTATTTCCCACGTGGATTTCATATGAACTTATATTACAGGCGCATTGACACTAGTCAAGTAAACAGCTGCTAGCTTCGTTAACAATAAAGTTACAATTTTAAAAGTACAAGTTTTTATGAAAATATAAGTGAGATTTTTTTTGCCATACACGTATATTAAATATATATCGAAGTGAGTGAAATCTATATTTGTTATTCTTCATGTTTTCATAAGTTATTTTTAAGTAAGCACAAGTGGCCAGAATCTCTTATTAAAGTAAGTACTATTACTGCTGAGTCATTAAAATATGACACCATAGATACACTCTACTATACCTTGCATTTGGTGTTCATGAGCAACCAATTTGGCTTATTAGTAATGATTATGTATTTGTTTTTATTTGTCTGTTCCTTATTAATGGTTTATCGGTTGAAAGTTAGATGTTAATAAGGTACTTTCAAAAATATACTAAACAATACAATTGGACAAACAAAGTATCTTATGCATTTCTAGGTGTTAGGTATAGTAGTGTTTAGATAGTCTCAATCTCTCAAAAATACATCTCTGAGAATAGACTGTGTTGTGATTGAATTATTTGAAATAAGTGTAACTTTGATCAAAAACCAGAAGCCATATGCCACTGTATGCATGCTCAGTTTTGCTGCCCATGGGCTTAGGCCGATAAAAATAGTTTTTAAATAAAGATGGCATGGTAAACGATCTATGTTTATTCATAGCCAAAAAAGATAATAGTGAATTTTGATGGTGCTGCCATCTTTATATCGGCCGAGAACCTATGTCAGTATATTCAGGCCATTGTGGACTCTTGTTGTCCCCGGGTTGTTGTCCAAGAGGCTTGAATGATGCGAGACTATGATATGTCTTCCATTATCCGATATAGATATATTTTATAGATGTCCATCGATATGTGCTTACACTAGTCTTCTTTGATCTTCTGGCTATAAGCAAAAAGTACAATTGGAGATCAGATGTTGTATTATTGAACATTTTGAGGACCTTTCATTTCAGATCCATTGCATTTCAGTAATTCAGTTCCTTGTTTTCTTATATTCCTTGACTAGTCTTGTCATTTCATCGAGAGACTCATATACTCCCTCCCCATTGGCTGCACACGTGCCTTGCACGTGCCACTTGTGTCCCACTAGCTTCCTCAGATGTAACTGCTCAATCAGCTCGTAGGGTTTCAATGCACCTGGAAGTACATGTACATGGTTGTAAATTAGAGATTCTGTAAAGAGTTCCTTTAATGACATTGGAGTAAAATTTGAAATTCATTGTTAAAAAGAGTAGGGAAGGGATGGGGCCGGGGCGTGAGTGAATTCAAGGTTATTGCAATTAGAATTGACACCAATCATGTAATCAGATAAAATCCATATTATGTTTTAGGTCGGTGATAAGTCTATAGACAAATAACCGATATGATATGACTTGTTTGGTTGAACCATCATTACTTAGAAAAAGATCGATCTGGACTGTGGTGAATCAGAATATGGAGATCTTGTACCTTACCCCCGGGACCTCACCTCAATATACACCCTCTCCCATGAACCGCCACTACATGTTGAATTAGTTATAAGATGAAACACTTACGAGGCATATCTTGCTTGTTTGCCAAGATCACTACTGGAACCCCTCTCATGTCATCATGTTCTAGGATACCAAACAGTTCCTCCCTGGCTTCATCCACTCTCAATCTGTCGGAGCTGTCAACTACAAACAGGAGACCTGGAAAATAAAATGATATATATTCCATAGGTTCTGGGCCGATATAAAGATGGCAGCACCATCAGAATCCAGTAAAAATAAAGAGAAATATAAACACAGATCGATTAACATGCCATCTTTATTTAAAGATAAGTCCTACCGACCTTAGCCAATGATATGAGTTCATTCACTGAATAGCTAGGTTGCCTCGGTCATTACTATGATTAACCATACATTTTTGACGTCAGATATATCTACAAGGGTCACAGAGACAATTAGTTTAATTATTTTACATGCACATAGTGACAATTTAGACATTGGTTGAATGATCAATTGAAGCTTGTACGGTAACTGGTCAACTCGTACCCAAGACAAGTCGTACCCAAGACAACTCGTACCCAAGACAACTCGTACCCAAGTATATATTTTGTTTTGAATCAAGCATTGGACTGGGAATGTGAATAGATATACATATTATAATTGTAACATACTGTTCAGAATAGTTTAAAGTTTGAAGAAGAATTTTCGGAAGAAATTGATTTAATTTTATGACATTTTGAGCTGAGTGTCAATTTATATTGACTATTATTTTATATTGGTCACAGATTCAGGATGTTCAAGTGAAGAGACATATGTTTATAATCATTTTTCAAAATATTGTATGTTTATGAGTGTTTGGAACAAGTGTCAGATCTAACGTTGTAATTATATTTATTTATATATATGTTTGACAAAAAAATTTTGAGAACAAGCGCTTCAAGCACTTCTTTTATTTAATAAAAAAAATGCTTTACTGATCCATTGAGAAAAAATGTCGTCTAAATTCAAAAAAATATTGAGGCTTATTTGATTCACCTTATAACATGAAAGCATTACAAACTCAATTTCTTCCCTAATATGCACCCATGATACTGAAAATAAGCTTGGGTACGAGTTGTCTTGGGTACGAGTTGTCTTGGGTACGAGTTGTCTTGGGTACGAGTTGACTAGGAAGCGCTTGTACACATGGACCATGTGGAGAATTTGATTGATCACTTTGAGCGTATGTACATGGACCACATAAGCACTTCAACAAGTTGAGTGATCACTAACATGATCACTAACATGGATGGTTTTGCCACAGCAGCGCTGGAATGTGACATCGCTAAGGCCGACTGAAGCAATATGCTAGCTGGTAAAAATGGGTGGCTTATGTGATGGTAAATACCTGATCTCAAGACCATAATACTGTTTAGCAGTGTTTATAATGATGTTTTTCGATATGTTAGATAGCAGAATTGAATCCCCTAATTAAAAGTTGTCCTTTACGTATGTGATTTGTTTCTTCAAACTAAACGTATAAAGAAGAGCCCGTTAGTTGGTAGTTTGTTTTGTTCATGTTGGGTCTTCTTGCCGACTTTCACTGGATATATTGGATGAGTTAAATCATGCATAAAAATGTGTAAGTGTCTACCTTCTGAGTTTTGGTAGTAGTGCTTCCAAAGTTGTCGAATTTTCTCCTGACCGCCAACATCCCATACAGTGAATGAAATTCCTTTAGATGGCGACACTGTTTCTACATTGAAGCCTATAGTAGGAATTGTGTTCACATTCTCATTTAGCTTGATCTTGTATAAAATTGTAGTCTTTCCTGTAAAATTGTGAATAAAAATAATTATAACTCAGGGTAGAGTAAGTATTTGTGTTAGTATTCTATATGCAGGGCAAAGTTCAGTTACAGCCTCTTTGGCGAGTCTGCGTGCATGCATATCATTGTAGTTTTTGCAGATAAACGCCAGGGTAGGACCCCAGGGGCAGGACGGCGTTGCTCCGATATACATATCTTTTACGATTTTAGTGTCCAATTGTCGGTATATTACAATGAATTTAATTATTTTAGACTAACCTGCAGCGTCCAATCCAAGCATCAAAATTCTTGCTTGATCTGTATTAAATCCATCCAGAAGTGTAGCTAATTTTGTTAACCAAAGGCCCATATTTCTTGTTTATATTGGATATTGATTAGACTAGTTTCACTTTCGCTTTCGAGTGTACCAACCTTCTCTCTTGTTGCTTCTCGTGCATATGGGCCACATCACAATATCTTGATCTTATATACCCAAATATCATACACTCTGGAATAGCTGACGTGGCATCGTTATAGTCATTGTTGCACAAATAAAGGGAAATAAAAGTTGAAATTCATACATTACAAATTGTCAGATCCACGTTGGAATGTGTGACGTCAAATTTATTTGATAGGGGAATCCCCTTTCTCATTATCCATCTATTCCGTTGTTTGGAGATGTTCCAATCCAGTTGTGTAAATATAAAGTTAGAATTTCACTACAATCATAAATTAATTCACGAATTTCATGCAAAATGTAGACTTGATGTGTTATACATGCAGGAACAATTTCTCATTTCTTTAGAGACTAGGTCACATGATCTTGGCGGCCATGTTGAAATAAATGTTTTGAAAAAGTAATTTTATATTTCCGGGTTAATTATGTCAGAAACATACAGTAAGTACCCCATATATCACAATTCTTTCAATACATATGTAATATCTATAAAGTCGTGTTTTGCATGAATGACTTTAGAGCTAGATTGGGACAGTAATGTGTAATGTAATCAATTTTTTCATGATTGTTTTCATTTTTTCAGGTTCGTAATTTTACTCCCCCCATATTACATTAAAATTTCCCCAATATTCCCATTCATATATTCATCGAAACTGTTATATTGTGAAGAATTGTTATGAAATAATTATATCCTTAGTCTTACACCGAATTCACAGAGGTTGCACTCGGTTGTACTTGTAAAAGTGAGTTGTTCTACAAAGGGCATTCTCGGCCACAGGGCATTCCTGGCCACAGGGCATTCCAAGACAAACCCTTGACCTCGTTTGAAAATCCGGTGCATGATGGATAGAAACCACCAAATTAAGTCTCCGCCAATTTTTTAAAAATAAAATCGCGGGATTTCCATCCAGTGCATTTTTTATATGTTACCTTGCTGATAAATCATGGATCATGGATAAAATGTCAAATTTAAACTATTTCTGAAGATCTAGAGTCTCCTCTGGTTTAGATAAAAAGATCTTATACCAGGAGTGTCATTGGTGGCAATCTGTGAAGTGAGTTTTATGAATGATTGATGATGGTCAATCCGCCAAATTAAATTACAATAGTGCTAAATTAAAGCAATTTACAGTATGTCACCATATTACTCTACAACCCGAGATGTGATTTGTACACCTCCAATGTTGCCATCACCATTCATCTTCTCATCAGCCCCACCATCAACAATGCTGAAAGTACTGTTTTAATTCAGTCTCATTTTATCATTGAACAGTGCATTACAGAACTGTTTTTTTATTTACAGTACCGTGTATTGTTTGATTTTCTCTGTCATGTTTGATTTCTACAAAATTATTATCATCATGAGAATATACATGTAGCCATGGTGTCAGGATATCATTGTCAGATGGAAAGGATGAGTTGAACACATTCTGTATTGTTACCAGGTTCAATCAGGTACCATGTGACTAAAAATAAATTGCAGTATTCCATCCACATGCAAAAAGAGGTATTCATTATTGAATACCAGGCCGTATTCAACGATCGTGATGTCACGACTCAAAGCCCCGGGAAAATAATTATGTTTCCATCAATTTATTTTTGTTCAGTACCAATCTTGGACTTCATATCGGACAGAAATAAAAAAAATAAGATTATCCAAAAATGAAGGCTTTAAACATGGGCTTCAAATGATAGCCCTTGCTTTAACCTATGGATGGTTCTGAAAGACTATTATGATCTTTGTAGTTTGCATAAGAAGTCAATTCAAAAAATGAAAACATTTCCAGTTTCTATTGGCTGTTAATTAAATCCTGAATTTCAAACAGCATAATCGTAAACATGTTAAGATTGAAAAAATTGTATGAGATAGTGTAGATGGTATAATTAATAGACTACAAATGTTTTTTTTGTCATTTTTAAATGGGTGTTTCTGGTTAGGGTATTGATAGTGTTTATTGATTTCGCATGAAAATATCTTTGTTTCTTTATGAATATGCTCAAGGTTAGAAAGAGGCAATTAGCATTTATTATCGAGAGAAATCCCAAAGGAAATATGTACAAGTATATATAGATAATGCACTAAGGAAATTATTTAACATGTTTAACCTGAGTGCTTGGGGGCTCTACTTTAAAAACAAGGTAAATGTATACAGTAAAAAGCTCAGTAGCTCACATACGGTGTACCTTCAAGTAAGGAAATCATTAATATTTTTATTCCAATGTAGATAATGTCGAATCTGTACGATAACATGCATTCATATTTATGATACAGTCAAACCTGTATTTTTGAACACCTCTCTATGTCCCATTTTCCACTTAACACTTTAAGTCCCATTTTAATTTGCCATAAACTTGCATAATAAAAACTTCAAAATATGAACACATGTAGCTGTCAATTTGAACACATTTGGTCAGTCCCAGTTGCCACCATAATATGACTTTTGAAGTTTAGATTATAGACTGTATATATACTGGTCTTACATCGGTAAAGATTAATAGCTATTTGCATTGAGGAAATCCAATGAATCTGTGCAGATATTGATGCGAACAAATACAGTAGACAGAAAGAATAACATAATCTGGCCAAATGGGTAAAAATGCAACTTTGTTTTAGCCACATTTTCTGTTACAGTGATTCAGTGTCCAGCATCAGAAAATGGCAGTTTGTATTATTAGACTTTTGTAACCATTTGTAGTTGGTGACATTTTTGTCTTATTTTTCAATGGACACAAATGGGTTTTCAAATGGTCGCAACTTTCAAGCCTATAATGTCTTGCAGGATCTTGTGTCGGTGCTGCACCCAATTTCTACAGTACTGGGAACATCACTGCCCAGATATTCTTGTAAATGTTCCTTAGCTATTTCACATTATTAATATACATACAGTTCTTTATCTTTCTAAATGTCTATTTTTGTAGATTTTCTCTTTAAGTTTCTGGTCATAGGCAGCGCTGGAACAGGGAAATCTTGCATTCTCCATCAGTTTATAGAAAACAAATGTAAGTACCATGGTGACGGTGTGACCTTCACCTTCCTGCTGCATTAGAGTAATAATTTTGCTGGATTTCAAAATAATTTTTTTAACTATGTATTTTGGATTACTGTATATGTGTGCCCTTGCCAAGAAACTTTAAATGAATGCATTTATTTTCTTCAAATGCTCTACAATTTTTCATCTATTATTCCCAACTCATTTTTTCATTTTTATTTTGACAACCTATTTGAAAAAACAATGGAACATTGTAATATTGTAATTTTCAGTCAAAGAAGACAGCAACCATACTATAGGAGTTGAGTTTGGCAGTAAAGTAGTAAACGTTGGAGGAAAGTCAGTGAAACTACAGATCTGGGATACTGCAGGCCAAGAGAGATTCAGGTGAAACAATGAGTTTATATTAATCAATGGTTTTGAAGGTATGGGTTGTAGCTGGTAGGCTGGTCAAACTTTGGTGGGGGGAGGGGTGCTTTGGGTGTTCCAGCTGTCAGTTCTTTCGTTCATACAGTGTACTATGAATTCTATGAATCACCCATGTTTGATAAGTTCTTGATTACTTCCTGTAGAAAATATTCAAAATACATGTACTCAGAAGTATTGATTTGCAATCCATTTTAATTGTAATAAATCACTTTTTTCTGAGATTTGTTTGTGATTTGTTCCTAAAATCTTCCACAACTACTGGGAACACTTGAAACCTTATGGAAACATTACCTGGTGGATCAAAATCTTGCTAATCTTGCTAATATGAGATGTTTGTTGTTTTATTTGAAGATCTGTCACTAGGAGCTACTACAGAGGTGCAGCTGGTGCTCTATTAGTCTATGACATCACAAGGTAAGTCTTTGACATCACAAGGATTGTCTATGACATCACAAGGATTGTGTGTGACATTATTTTGATGGTGTTTATCAAAAATAGGTGCCATATGAAATGTGAAATACCAGATAAAAGTGTTCAGGGGTATGGTTGAAAACATGATTACAACAATTTAATATAGTGGCATTAAATATATTGTCCAATAGGCAACTCATTTCAAGTTCATTGCAAAGAGTTTAAACTGTAAAGTGATTTCCTGCAGTCAGGTAGCTGTGAGTTTCAAACCCTATAGGGATACCATGCATACCATTCATAAGGTTTATTACAAATTTGAAGAAAACTTCAAATTAAAGAGCTTCCAGTTAGTCTGATCATGGGCTGTTAACTAGTTGAAAGCCCATGGTCTGATTTGCAAAGAAATTCTAACTAATTAGCGCTAAGTAGAAATACAGTGAAGATTTAATGTGACAAAATTATGTGAATTAACTAATTTTAGCCGTGAGACATACAATGCACTGACCAACTGGTTGACAGATGCAAGGACTCTAGCCAGCCCCAATATTGTCATAGTCCTTGTGGGCAATAAGAAGGATCTTGAACAGGAGAGAGAAGTTACATTCCTAGAAGCTAGTCGCTTTGCACAAGAAAATGGTGAGTATAATAATAGGACCATGAACATCTTCAGTCCAATATTGGAATTGGTCATGTGAAGATTGGTTGCCCCATTTAGAAAAGTGGTTTTGTTATTGAAATAATCATGCATGTTTTCTTACTTAATGTCAGTCAGTCAGTATGGAGAGCTAGAGAAGGGGGATTGTTGATTAAAGTTTGATATTATTTTTTAAAGTGTAATGTTTACAAATACATGTATATGTATTTTAATTTAATGTAGAGAAGACCAGGTCTATATTCAAACCTCATATACAAGTATGTACATTTGAAACATTTCCATTTACAAATTGACTAATATATTTAATAGGGTACACTGGGTGGTTGCAGTACCTGGTCGCACAAGCAAGGGAGACCATTTCTATAGTATCCATACCTTTAACTTGTACATTCTTCCTGATCCGTGACTCAAAATTCCTGAATTTAAAAATGTCAATTACTTATTATTCCAGAGCTGTTGTTCTTGGAAACTAGCGCTCTAACTGGAGAAAATGTCGAGGAAACCTTCCTGAAATGTGCCAGATCAATACTAACAAAAATAGAATCAGGTAAAACATGTGTTAAAACGGAGATTATGTTCAGTGTTGCATTTTATATTGTACATTTTTCTCTATTTCTTCATCATATTTCCACAGTGCAATCCTGAGTACATTCAATACTTACAGGCCCGTAGCCAGGGGGGTTCGCAGGGTTCGGGCGAACCCCCCTCCCTGGCCAAAAAATCTTCAAAATCATGCAGTTTTTCACCATTTTGAGCACTTCTCAAGTGATTTTCACCATAATTGGGCCAAAATTGTCAAATATGAACCCCCATGGAAATTTTTGAAAACTGAACCCCCCTTGGCAAATCCTGGCTACGGGCCTAACTTACCAGTAGTGAATTTTCCCTATGTTTTGATAAATACAATATATTCTTGCATATTACTTTTGAGTTTTACATTAGCCACATTACATCTGACAAGTCAATTAATTTATGAATTAGTTGCTGCTATCACACTTTAAGTTATATTTCAGGCGAGCTAGACCCTGAAAGGATGGGATCTGGGATACAGTATGGCGATGCATCATTACGACGCCTAAACAGACAGAACACATCCACCAAGCGACCAGACTGTCAATGTTGATCCCAGCTAGAGTCATAGTAAACATTTCTGGGATTGTGCAGTGATATATTTGATTGTGATGCAGTAATGTTGTATAAGGGATTGCGTTAAAGTGTCAATAGGATGACCATGCATGCAGGATTAAACTTGAGTCCTTCGAGGGGGAGAAGTTAAGGTCGCTTTCATATTGGGGTAATTGTTGATCATAGTAAGCATGAAATATGATGTTTTGTTTCATAAAATTTTATATATTTTACAACAAAATATTGATTTTATTTTTGCAAGCATTGGATTTGAATCGGCTGTTTGAGTTGAGAACCATTTATGGATAATCAAAGGCTTTTCATTGAAGTGACACTGGCAGATATTGGGATTTTTATCACCCTTTTATCAAAAAATATTAATGAAGCATCAATTGTTTAGAGGAGTGGTCCAATGATTAACATTGGAATTTTGGTCCGACCTCTCCAGACTTTCTTGAACAGTTTTTTGAGAGCCAGGATTCATGTAGCTGGGTGTTATCTTTCTCATATGTGTCGTTATTTTCCAGTTACCTTGATTTGTATAAAGATTGTGATATTAAAACTACAAATTCACAATCTAAATGAAACTTAATATCATACCATCCTCATAATTATTTATTTACATGTTAAATATCAAAAGGTTTGAAATATTTTAAACAAAATTTATCTTTGGAGATTTTTGGAGTTATTTTAAATGTTAAAGTTGCAGTTTTATCCACTAAACTCTTCGCCATCTATTGGCAGTCCTTTACACCATAATACTTGATAGTTTAATCTGATCCCTTAATACTAAACTGGATGTCAAGAACGTCACAAATCCTTGTAAAATAATACTCTATTATTTTCGATGCAGTTGAGTCAGACGAGTGCTTATCTAAATAAAATAATACACTACGGGGCTTCGGGGGTATATGAAGTTCTTCAAAATGGAGGAGTCGATATTATATTATGGGTACTTTGCCATTTTTAAATTGTGCCTAAGGCATATTGTCTAATTTTCCTGTGACTGTACATTGAAAAGAATTGGGGATCTTGTATTTGAAATAATGAATTCCGAAAACAATAAGCGATAAAACTGGACTGGAAGGAATAATTGAACCCTGTGGTGCATTTTACAATCACTGTGGTGCATTTTACTTTACCCTGTGGTGCATTTTACTCTATGTACAAATGTCTGAGGCAAATGACTATGGCAATCTAGCCAGAATTTTGGGATATTTCACACAAGTATGCTCTCTGAAGAAATTCAGATTAGATAGATTTTATTTGGGGTTTGTATAGAAAAGTGTAAAAATGTATTTTGTATCTAGACTGTCTCCTAACATATCTTGGATGTATAGATAATTCCAATCCAAAACATGTACATTATAATCTACAGTAGTAAGTATAAGCAATGTGCAGTGCAGTGTAGATAGATATAAGGCCTAACAGGATAGTTGTTTGTTTAGCGGACATTACAAAATTACATTGTGTCCAGGCTCTTTTACCCCAAATGCCAAAAAATCATGTAAAAACATTGAAAGAACAAAGTTTGATGAGAGCAGTCTTTTGGATTATAATAAACAGAGGCAGACTGCAAAACAGACAACTAATTTGTAAGGGTCCAAGGTTGGGTTTCTTAAAAGAGGGAAACAGTTTGCCTTTTAACATCATGTTAACAAAAGCAAGATTTCATAGACAGCATGTCCAAGCACCCCCCCCCCCTGGGATCCAAACTAGCAGTCTGTCAATTTTGGTAACATACATGTACTAACATCGACAGAAAGTCTATATTGGCAGCATGCCCACATTAGCAGTCTGCCAATACAAGCAGTCTATCTGTATCAGCAATATGTCTATAATGGCAGTGTAATTTCTGTACTTCTTCTTAATTTGGCGCCTGTTTTAATTTGGTGGATCCGCCATATTGTTTAAGCCCGCCAAATTTTTGAACCAGCAAATATGCCAAAATAAATAGCGCCAAATTAAGTAGAAGTAGGGTACCTAATATTGGACCTGAAACCCTCATAGGCCATGTATACTGCATGTACAACAGTAAAGAATTGTCATTAGTTATGTAATCTATTTCTGTGTTCTTCATAATCATATCAGGTTAATGCTTGCATGCTTTGTTATAAAGAAACATATAAATCAGTTCAAATACATAATGTAATGAAGTAAGCAAGTGAATATCTTAAATTGTCAAAGCGAAGAGGTATCACATACTAATTGAGAGAGTGATTGCAATATAAGGGACAGTATTGCGTGAAAGAAGTTTAAAAATGAATTGCCAAATAATTCTCTATTCTTTAGTATTGTGTACTGTACAAATCTATTTATTGTATTATTTTGTATATATTATTATGTATATTTTAAGTTCAGTTGAGGTATGAGGTTCAAACTTTAATGATTCAACGACTGGCTAGATAGGTGTTTTAATGCTAAATGAGTGCAGAATCAAGGGTGTCTATTTTCCTCAATCAAGGGCTTCTGTGTGTGAAATGCATCAAGCAATGTAAAGGGTTTTCTAATACAACTATCTTGACCAAAGGGACAAGGTCATTATTTCAATATTTTCCATCCAGCCCATCATAACGTGACAATTCCACTCATCAAAAAATATAAGAGCATCTATTGAATTGAAATGTGCTTACTTTTGAGAATGATTGTAATTGTACTTATAATGAAATACGTCCCCTCCCTCCCATATGTAATTTTTTCAATTGTGGGCAAACATTGATATAATGACCTTGACCCTTACTTAGCAATAAATAACAATTACTTCTATGAACCAGAAATTTTGACAGTAGATATGAAAATTTGATTAGCAAATCAAACAACAACTTATCATGTTAATGTGGAAGATTTGAGCATTAAACAAAGCCTTGCAGTTGTTCACTTGGCTCCCATAGTGAAAACGGAGTCTCCAGTCTATCAGATTGTTTTAAACTGTAATTTCTAAAATGAAATTTTGTGTCAGATATAGCAAAAATTTGATAACCTCACAATTTCTTTTACAATGTGTGAGTCAGTCTCCATGATTTAATAAACTAAAGGATACATTGTGTTGATGTTATTCACTATCGATGTCATTCATTGATTTAATGGCATATATTATGTTGATGTCATGCATCACACTGATGCCATACATTTTTGTCAATGAAACCATGTTTGGAAAAGTGTCATGATCAGAACAAACATTTATTGTACTGTAATTGTATTGTCAGTCAAAATACATATTTTTATTGAATTTAGTTATAAAAAGATTCAATGTATATATGTTCACATAATTTGCTTGAGCTAAGCATAAGTCAGTTGAAAAATAAAAAGCATCATATGTTTTTTGAAAAAGAAAATACTCTGGTGTTGTATTTACGTTTGTCAAAGTGTATTCATGATTCGTCCCATTATTTTTTCGACATTGTCGTAACTCACATTTTACAAGTTTTGAGATAAGTATACTATCTTCCTAAATTTTTCACGAGGAATTCATTTCTGGGGTCCATTTCAATGGATCTAATCTCCCTTTGGAGATATCCAGTGCCACACTGTTATAAGTGCAAAATGAGGAAAATCTTTTAGGCCCACCTTGTCATATCCGTTTGGGTAGGCAGCAGAGCCAATCAGATGCATAATTTTGATCATGTGACTAATAGTTATAACAATGTGGAAATAATGGGAAGATCACTTTCTAGTATACTTTGCAGGTAATTAACAAAGGAGATTATAAATCATGACACCATGCATGTAGTACAAACAAAAGATTTGACATTATTTATAAAAAAAAGTTCATTCAGTGAACTTAATCAATTACTGACCTGTAAAGTGTTATACCCTTTTTATCTTTGTCATTTACCTTTTAAAGATCTGGTGGATTTATCCAAAATATTTACAAGTTTTCGCACTTAAGTTGTGTTGTTATGGCAACCACTTAACCAATCATGATCAAACTTGTAATAGCAACTAATTAGATATAGATACATAATCCCTAGAAATATTAATGTGATTGAAGGTTACTTCCTGCGAAAGCTATGTCGGATTTTGATATAATAGCCATAACACTGGTGATCCACTCGATTACGCTGGTAAACAAAACGGGTCGTTTTGGTAACAAAATGTCGGAACATCGAAGGTACGATTTTTCTCTTTCTCATTTCACACGTTGTAGGCAAAATTCCCAAGACATTTTTAATACAAACGTGTATCAGTATCATATGTTTAAGAAAATGTACATATTCGCGAAAAATATCAGACGACAACAGAATCGTCGATTTAATTCCTTAAAGTTACATAAACGGTTTTTCGAAAAACAGTTAAGATCTGCACTTTTAACCCAAACCGTTTATGTAACTTAAGTGAGACAGCCGAAAGCTACATTCGCGAATACAATCTATAAGACTTTTTGTTCAACTTGGTCAGTGCCTTTTACCGACCACCTCTAACTTGATTCCTACTGGCTAAGATTTTTAACCTGCTCTAAGGTTCTTTTAAAGTTACAAAAAATAACATGCAAACATAGATAACGTCAAATCCTACGCTAATGACTGATATAAAAATGTCACTCCACGTTGATGGGGACCGAACCCACAACCTCCCGATTACATGTCGAGTGCTTATAGGTCTTTAATGATGTAGCTCGATATAACATCTACCATTGCCGCATTCAGTCCATTCGAATAATGTGTGCCGTCCCAGTTGATGTGATTCTTTACCAACTCATTCGCATCAAGGAAAGATATATTCATACTTTTTGTAAATGTTCGAAAAAACGTAGCAAAGTTTAACGTCTTTTCTTTGGTTTGTTTTTCATACAATGGCGATTTATGCAATCCCGGAATATACGGGGTCATGTAGATGATGTGTGTATCGCCAAGGTCTTTTGCAACGTCAAGCAGTTCTTCCAAATAGTGTGACACCGTCTGCGTACTGAGATTAGTGTGGAGCCCAACATCCGCCATGACAAGCATGTGACCCGGATGTTCCTTCTTCAATGCTCTTAATTTCTCCTTCAAAGGTCTCACTTCTTTCGATACATCTTGATGAAATAAAAAATAAAATTGAAATTAATGTAAGTG